AGGATTGAATGGAATCGGGAAATCTCTAAGTTACAATCCTCCATCGGCTCGAGGTTCCGTAACGATGTGGGTTTTTTGTTCAAAGAACCTGCAGGTGAATTCGTTACACGTACAAGAAGAGATAGTTTCAGGGACTTAGGCGAATACAGTTGGTACAAGAAGGGCTTCTTGTATCTGTGGGAAACTAATGGTTTTGAGATCGATGATGAGTAAAGTTTCATCATGTTCAGCTCGATTCAGGATCAAAGGTATGAGTTGAAGGTTCTGACTCTAAGTTATGATAACTAGAATCAAGTCATCATCTCTTAAGACTCAAGTCTTGAAGATCAATTAGTCTATTATCCGCTGCAAATCTCAAGAACATTTGTGAGGTTATTAAGTGAAGTTTCAAGAGTCTCAAGGTCTGTTATCCTATGGAATCAAACTTAGCTAGAACACAAAGAATGATGATTTTGACAAAGGGGAGCCAATGATTCTTTGCTGGGTTTCAGATTGAATTTTTTGGGTTTAAATGTGGTTGTTGAAATCTGCTACAGTTAGTGTTCTGGAAACTATATTCTGGTTATTGGGGGACGCCTTAAGAGGATGAATTTATGTGTTATTGGCTGTTGAAACATCAGTTACAGGTTGAGATTCAAGTATGGGAGCTGCAGGTGGAGTAAGTAGAAACTTGTTCAAGCTGATTGTTGGGTACAATACAGTTTTATGACTATGAAGACTTCAGGTTATGAGGGAGTTTTGATGAGGTTTCGGTTGTAGGTCTAGTCTCTGGGTTAAGCATCAGATTCTTGTGAATCTGATGTGGTTGCAGGCTTTGAGGTCTAAGTTTTAAGGAGATCTCACGGGTCTGTGAATGCAGGTTTTAATGATCAAGGTTTCAAAGCAGATCATGGAGCTTGTTGCAGCAAGTATTGTTTCCATGGAAATGGATCAAGGCTGTGGATGTTTTCTTGGAAATGGAGCAGTCAAAGCTCATTAAGGAAAACATGGAGAGTCATCTAAGTCTGTAAAAGAAACATGAAGAAATTATATCTCAAGAAGGAGGTAGCCGGAGCAAAGGCAAAGTGTGTGAAAACAACACAATTGCTTGTTGGAACAAAGTCACTTTGTGGTAACAACAGCTAGTAGCTTTGATGAGGTATTGTGAGTGACAGATGCAAGGTCGGGCTAGAACTTTCAGTGTCTGACTCAAGGAGTTTCTACAGAAGACTAGAAGTGATGGACTCTTGATAAAAACTGATGGAAAAATCAGTGTTACAGAAACAATAAGAAGAAACTTGTTTCTGGCTCTTATGGTTCAAAGTAAATGAGTCAAAGAGGAATGGTTTTGCTGATTACAGGTTCATTTGGACATGAAGACTGCAAGTTCAGGTCTGCATGAGATGTCTCAGGATTTTGCTCTGGTTTTGTTCATTTGGAAATTTCATAGTTGTCAAAGACAGGTTGATATTTCTGTAATATGAATGGTGGAGCATTTGAGATATTTGCAGAAGGTGCTAGTTCTGATGAATCAAAGTCAGAGTAGTATGAGGAAATAATTAAAAAAAAAAAAAGTCAGGATGTCTAAGGGTAGAACAAGTTACAGTATAGTCCAGTTACGGTTGATGCATCTTCAATTTAGTTAGTACAAAATCAGTTTGGGAACTTCAAAGAAGCATTGGTCCTTGGTGGGTCTTCTGGTTATAAAAGATTAAACTTAAAAGACTAACTCCAGTATGGTGAATCATTTGTCGTACAACTTGACATATACTTCAAGGAGGAAGCCGTGAGAGATCTGATACACAAGAACATGTGTATGGGTCAAAAAGTATCACTGGATAAAGGTTTAACTCATTCAGGTGGAGCTAAGCGTAAGAGACAAAGAAATATGAGGGTTCTAGTTTCAGGTGGAGCTAGTGAAAATCTGTTCCAGGTGGAGCTGTGAATCAGTAAAGATGTCTCGGGCCTATTCAAAACTTCAAGAATCTGGGAAGGATTTGGTATAGCAGCTCCAAAGGAGAAGAGTTAAATGGGCTTAAACAAATTTTTAATGTGAGGGAAGACGTGAAAGCCTAGGTTACAATATGAAGTTACAAGCTTGATTAAAGGTACAAGTTGCAGGTTTTTTTTTTCTGAAGAAAACAAATATGCAAGTTTCTGAATTTTCAGAGAAAAGGCTAATGAGTATAGCTTAAGATGAGGATATAGAAGTGATTGTTCAGTGAATTCTCTTGACGGGAAACTGAAGGGGACAAGTACAAGTTCTGTAGAATATGTCTCAAGTTTGGTGTCACTTCAAGGAGCCGAAGCAGTTATGCAAAAGCATGGTAAGGCCGTTCATCTTAGTGCAGGAAAGTGCGGAAATCAAGACTGCATTTGGAAACAGAGACTAGTGAAAGTCTGGTTGTGTTTCTGGTGCATCATACGGAGACTGAGAAGGAATCTTCTCAAATAGGCACTTGCAGGGAAAGTCAAGTGAAGGAATTTTCTGTAATAGAAGCACAGTGAAGTAAAGTATTTGAGGAAGATATTCTAGTAAAGTCTGAAGTTTTTTTTTGATGCAAGTACCAAGGTTTTTTGGTGGAGTCTGCATACTGGTGGAAGTTGCAGGGTATTTCTTCAGCTTAAAGGGACATCGGGAGCTCAAGTTGATGTGGTAATAGCTGAAAGAAAGGTCTCTCAGATGTATCACGGGTTTGTTGATATGAGAGGTATAAAGGTTTGCTAGCAGGGAAGTCAACATCGTTGGTAAAGTTCTGTTAAAACGGAATGGTTTGAACAAGGTCTAATGTTCAAATGTTAACTATGCAAAACAGGTTTACGAAAGGTCAGTCTTAAAAGTTATGCGGTGGTTGCTAACTTGTTGTCGAGATTTTGTTTTGCAGGTTTTGAATCACAGGTTGTTTCAAGAAAGAAGCATGTATGATTCAAGTGGGAATCAAGTCTACTTCAAGTAAAGAAGCTAGAATGGTTCTGGTCTCAGCAATTGATCCAAAGAAGTTTTGATTCAAGGCTCAGTGCACATGAGTGAATCAAAAGGACGTCAAAGGAATCACATTGCAGGAGGGACGAAGTTTTAATCACTGTAACAGTTCATGGTTTTAGCAGAGATCATGAAGGAAAACTGTGTGATTGATGGTCTTATAAGTGGTTTAGCTTATGAGGATTCTGTTGTGTTAATATGTTTAATGGTTTATTATACATGTTAGTGTTCTGTTTTCTGAGTGGTTTTAACTCAGGTATCCAGGCGATGGAAACACAAAGACAATCAATGAGAGTTTAGCTTGACATAAGAATATGCCGAAGTGGTACGACTCAGGAGGAGACACGGGACTAGCCAAAGTTTGAGAAAAGCTTTGTGGTTACTTTGTGATCACTTAGTTGAGCTTGACTAACGTTGTGTCTAGTTTTTCATTGGTGGTGTAGTAAGTTTAAGGGATCAAATTTACGAATGTGGTTGGTTGGTATAAGTAAAACTTATGCAGCTTTGGAGATTGAGTACCAAGGTTAGAATCAGGTTTAACAGATTCTAAGGTCAGTTCATAAGAGATCTTTCAAGGTTGTCTCAAGGTGGAGAATGCTGGATTTGATCCAACTTGAAAGCATTTGAAGAAGATGTTTATTCAAGCGTGAAGAATAAAACCAAATGGGGACGTGTTTATAAGCTTCTGCAGGAATCAGAGGGTCTTGATACATGGTTCTATTTGGGTGCACGTGGGTCTACACGTGTGAGACTATCTTTGACTAAAACCAGAGAAGTTGTAAGACTTTGGTGACGGGACGGGACGAGACGGAGTCGTCTTCTCCGAGAGCTTCTTCATGAGCAATTCAGTGAGAGTAAGCGAGAGAGAGATAGCTAGATAGAGAAAGAGAGATCTTCTTGGGTTCTAGGGTTCTTCTTCTCCTCCTTCTCTTGTTCTTCTTCTTCAGGTTCTTCTTCCTTGTAATGTCGATTGAGTTGTAATCGGCGGTGAGCGATTCTTCTTGTGAACCATGATCGGGGTTTTTTCCGATCAACATAGTGAACGTGAGGCAACACGAAAGACTCCTCCGGATGTAGCTTCGGTGAACCGGGTCAACATTTGGTGGTGTCTCTTGATTAGTAAATCGAATGACCAAGAAGTGAATTGAGGAATTCAATTCTCAACAAACTGATTGATCAGAGTTTTTGAAATAAAAAGTTTTATCCTTAGATGAACTATATCCATAATAACAACACATGAACAAATTAACTATGCCAATTCTTATATGAGCTTTTAAAATTTGACCTAAAGCTGCACATAAAATGAAAATACATGAGAGCAAAAAGTTGAATTATCTTTACCAGATGTTAAGTGCCAATGAGTGAGAGTGAGCATTTCGTAAGTGTATGCGGGTTTAAAGTATACCTTAGTCACATTACAAAAAGGATGAAAGAACATTTGACAATTCACTTACTATTAGTTTAGTAAATTTAATATAGATTTTTTTTAATGTTCTTTGTATTGTAGATATTATATTGTGGACCCAAGAGAAATGACTTTAGGCTTATTGGTTTATTGATTTTAACAGAGTTGCATGTAGTGGTTTTCGTCTCTATGATAGATGGATGAATAGTCTTCAAGTGTAAATCAAACCATGGAAAAAATTTTCATACTGATGCCTATATCAAGATATGGTTCTACAATTAGATCTTTACTTTGATGGAAGTTCATATCCAACATGTGGTCTTAAACGGAAAAATATATTACTACAATCTTCTTCATCTGAAGGAATAAACTCCTAATTTCATTTGTCTGATGTTTGTTTCATTTAATTAGACAAAATCTGCTTGTGGCAAGAGAAAATTAGAGAAGGTAAGTTCTTTGAAAATTTGTTTCTAAAATTTAGTTTAGTATACTTCTTTTGATACAATGTCTTGGCTCAGCGATCTATGAAATTTGAACTCATTTACTCCTAGTGTTCTACTTTATATAACATAAAAAACAGTCTTTTTTGTCGAAAAAGGATAAACTGAGTCAAAGCTAAGAAATATGTCTTAGTTACAAGTTAAATATAATATAAGTAAAAATATCAAAAGAATACCAAGTGGATTCACACTATTACACTAATATGATAATTTTAAGAAATTGTAGCAAAGATAAGATCATGCCCACCCACGAAAACGAAGCCTTGTTGACATTTATTTGTTGGTAGATGGTAGTAAAATATATAAATACAAAAAAGAAACAAATAGCAATATTATTTAATATATCATTTTGGTATGATAAAATTCATTTAAGTCAACCCATCATTTGTTGACCCATGGGAGGAGCCATCATCTCTTGTTGCTGAGCCATTCGCTGCCTTTGCACATTCCCACTCCATCCTAAGTACACCAATATATATTAATTACCGAGTCAAATTAAACGTTAACAAACAAAAACAATACTTAGAAATATTGAAAGAGATGCTTAATTATTTACCAATGGAAGGATCAAGTCCACGATTGTTGAGCTCACGATATTCTTGGCAAAGTGCACAATATTCACAGAAGCAATGAGTGATCCAATCTGGAGCTGGAGCATCCGGTAACCCAAATTTGTTTCGGAGCTTGGCCCTATATGTGCATGTGTAAACACATGGTATCCCAAATAGACAACATATCAATCCGTACAACATTCCAGCCGTTCCACAACCTGCAAAAACATATATATGTACAAATTTATATACTACTTTGAAACAAAAGAAATTTTGGAAATTCATCAGAAATTTTCCAAAAACTTTCTGACGATCATTTTCAAATACTTTCTGACAATCACGCTTCTCAGATATTTTTGATGACTTTCCGACTAAACTTGGTTTCCGAGACTCAGATTTTAACAAAAACATGTTTGTTGAAATATTGTCAGAAACAAATGGTCGGAATTTTATATATACATAAAAATGATTGGCAACATGAAATATTCAATCACGGAATCGTGAAAGAAACAAAAACAAAAACTATCCACGATATAGAATGATAAGATCATCAATTTGACCCCAGTTGCAAGAATATGCGATTACTAAAAACTACATTTACTTACTTGTGGCGCCTTCATCGGTAACCTCTGCGATCTGTCCGAACGTGACGAATGGGAAGAAACATGTGATGATTGCTGATAAGAAAAAGACAACAAACACATCAGAATCACTACGTAAAAATAAACGGACCAATTAAAAATAAAATAATTGAAAAGTTTTTTGAGTTTTGTTTGAACGTTTTGGAATTTAACCCATCTCTAGCTCTGCCTTGTTTTTTATTCTTTTTTTGCTAAGGTAGTACAGGTCTTAGATTTGCTTTTGTAAAATCTATCTTTCGTTTAATGATATTTACAGTTTAGCAAAAAAAAAGTTTTTGAGTTTTCTAACCATTTTCGCCATCGTTCATGCAATCAAAGAGCCCTGAAGTCCAATTCTGGTTGTTAATGACCGGTGGAGGCATTTGTACTACATAAGGTTGGTGACCTGTTGTATTGATATACGTAGGTTGAGCCGGTCTGCCCATATTCGGTACACCAGTCGGTTGGTTAACCATTCCACCATTGTTGGGATATCTCTGCTCGGTTTTGACCATATGCTTTTCGTAAACTGGTGCCGGTGGTTCAGGTGCGGGTTGTGCATGAAACACTGGATTGTAGTTATTGTTCATTCTCGGACTCGGACTTTGATCTGGTCGACCCATTTTGTAAACCAAAAGAGTAGGGTTTGAGGGTTAAGGAAGGTTTTTTTCTTTCTTTTTTTCTTCTTTTGTACTGTGAACAAAAATTAGAATGAAGGTTTGGTTTATATAAAGGTCGATTCTATGATAAAACAATATATGAAAAAGAAAAAGGTCGACTTCATGCAAGTTGAATTAGTTTGAATTTTTCGTCCCATCTTGCACTTATTTTTTAATACAACATGAAAATGTTGCATATAAATAAGCATTCGTTCTTACTTATATTTTGGTTCGTTTATTCTTATTAATGGAACTAGCTCTACTGTCAAGATTCTTTGAACATGGATCTATGAGTGTACAATTTGGTTTTAAAATTGAAGTTAAATTAAAATATTCTTGAGATCATGCATCATTAAGTTTACGAAAAAATGGGCATCTATATTAAACCAAAGCCTTTTCAAGTAACTTTGTCGCATTTTTAGTTCGAAATTTAGAATTTGCTACAAAATAAAGATCATTTAAAAATAAATAAATAAAACTCTATCGCAATTTGCAACAGCACTGCCAAAAGTTGTAAAATCGACTCAGTGCCAAAATTCATTTATTATTATTTTTAATGCATATTTTGAATTAAAATTCAAATAATGAACTTTTGTAATTTGTTTTCACATACTAGTCAAATGTTTGTCTGATAAAGATTATATCTGATTTCAACCTCCATAACAATATCCAAGGAAGTGATGCTTTTCAGGTAGCGTAAGATGTGCTCTAGGAGTATAAAAACGTTAATTCAGTAAAACCAAAAAAAATAGCGGGTTTGAACAGTGACGGATTTAAAAAAAAATTTAGTTGGAGACATAAGTTTATAAACAGGAAAAACAAAAGTTAGTTGGAGGCAAAATTTGTTTTTTACCACTAAATTAATTTTTTTTTAATTAAGAAAAAATTAAAAAGAGTAACTTGACCCCGCTCCTCTACAACTACATCCGCCCCTGGGTTTGAACCGTGGAACGGAAAATGAATCGAAAACTTAGGCTATATTCCTCTTTGATTTAATTTTGTTATGATAGGACTTGGAATTGATTATATAAGTTTCTAGACAGATGGTAACTGAAAAGAGAGTTGGAGACATGTAGCAAGATGTGAAGATGGTGAGCATGCCCATAATATCGCCTCCTCAATCATAATGCTCAAAGAGACCCGCGCTTTGTTGAACTCTTAATGGTTTGGTTTGGCACTTGCCCTTAATCCTTTAGGTTTTCAGCTTTGCTCCTCTCTGCCTCTTCTAATTTTTTTCATCTTAAATTTGTTTAGATGTCTTCTGTTTGTTAACTCTATAACTTTCAGCATTATTAATTACATTTGATCGTAAAATTGCCTTTTTGGCTGTAATAAAGTTTTACATCACAACAAAAAAAATGGTGAGCATGCAACAAAATGAAATTGCATGCAAGAATTTTCATCCTCCAGTATTCTCACTCTCACTCCTCTCCATTTCTCTCACGTCTCTTTTCTTCGTCTTCAATGGACGGGCCTCTCCTTCCCCCTTTAGCAATCCCCTCCATTATCTTCTCCTCCACCACAAGTCACCATGGATTCTAAAACCACCAGTTATCATCCTTCCTATTCTCGTCCTCTCTGTCTTCTCCTCTCAGACCTTGTCTTCCTCGGAAATCCAGAAACCACCGTGAATGAGAGATTTCCTGACGAGATCAAACAAATAAATAAACCATACATTATTGTCTCCTTTTGAGGTATAATTAATTTTGTTTAGACCTCTAAAGTCTCTGATCAAGTTCATATTTCATAGCAAAAAGATTTTGGTATAAGGACTCTTTAATCTATCACTTATTCTTCATCCTCTTAAGTCTTAAGCCTTGGAAACGTTCCAAACTTGAGAATGACAGTTGGCTGATGGAATAATGGGTTTTTGTAATTAAACTTGTGGTAGATTAGACTGAAATTTCGTTTGGAAAAAATCCAAAAATGGTATAAAATACATTCATAAGATAATTTAATTATTAGGACTTGAGAATAACAGTTGAGCTTTTATTTCTCTGTTTTTCTTCTTTTACTGTATTGTGAGTTGTGACAAAACGTTAGGATGGAGATTTGGTTTATATAAAGGTCGATTCTATGCAACTTGAATTTGTTTGAAAATTTCGTCACATCTTGCATGATTTTTATCATACGCTGGACAATTTGCATATCAATTAATTTTTTATAATTACTATTTCAATATTTTGTTATTACTAATGAAACTAGCTCTACTGTCACGATTAGTTCAACATGTCATAATGAGTGTACATTTCTCTTTTATTGAAGTTTAAAAACTATTTGCCAGAGTTAATCAAGATTTCACCACCATTTACGAAGAGAATGGGCCTATATATCCAAAGCGTTTTCAAGTAAAATTTTCGCATGTTTATAACAACACTTTCAATTTATTACAACCAGGATGATGACATATTAGTAATGATGATGACATATTTTCATTAACACAGAAGAAGCTTTGCTTGTCTAAAGATAACTTGGGAATATCTCTGACAAAGATTGAAGTGGATTATCAATACAATAAATCAATTATTAATTTTATCTAACTGTATCAGATTGAAGTGGTATTCGCAACAATAAATCAATTATTACTTTTTGTTGTGAAAACTTAGAAACTTTATTAATCACTGGAATGTATATATAGAGTACATAGGGAATCTAGGTTAAGTACAATGCCCTGATGGGCCTAATGGGCCGGTATAAGAGTCCATATATGATATGTGTTATAACACTCCCCCTTGGACGAGTGAACCGGGTCAGCTACTCAATCGGGATCTCGATAATGCGCTGGGGAATGTTGCCTCATTAAAACCTTACCAGGAAAAACCCAGTGGGACAAAACCATGGTGAAGGAAAAAGAGTACAACACGCATTACTCCCCCTGATTGTAGCATCACTGCAGATCTCTAAGTCTATACATTCCTATCTGTTTGACGAGCTTCCGATGTGTTGAAGTAGGCAATGATTTGGTGAAGAGGTCAGCTGAATTCTCACTGGATCGGACCTGCTGAACGCTGAGAGTGCCGTCCTTCTGCCAGTCTGAGGTTGAGAAGAACTTCGGTAGAATGTGCTTCGTCCGATCTCCTTTGATATATCCTTCCTTGAGCTGAGCTATGCATGCCGCGTTGTCTTCATACATCACCGTGGGCTGTGTGTCTTCGTCCATACCACAATCTCTGCGGATGTGCTGAGTCATGGAGCGCAGCCAGACGCATTCCCTACTAGCCTCATGAATGGCTAGGATTTCAGCATGGTTTGATGAAGTGGCAGTGAGTGTCTGCTTCATTGATCTCCAAGAGATGGCTGTTCCTCCATGCGTAAAAACGTAGCCAGTTTGAGACTTGGCAGTGTGCGGATCTGATAGATATCCTGCATCGGCGAAGCCGACTAACCCATCTTTATTTTGGTTAGTATAGAAGAGTCCTAAGTCTTGAGTACCTCGAAGGTATCTTAGGAGATGTTTTATACCGTTCCAGTGCCTCTGAGTTGGAGATGAACTATATCGAGCGAGGAGGTTCACGGCGAAACATATGTCTGGTCTAGTGTGACTAGCCAGGTACATTAACGCTCCTACAGCACTGAGGTATGGCTTTTCAGGACCAAGGATTTCTTCATCATCCTTTTTGGGACCAAGAGGGTCATCACTTAAGCTTCTAACTACCATTGGGCTGGTCAATGGGTGAGCTTGGTCCATATTAAATCGCTTGAGTACCTTTTCGATATAAGCCGATTGATGCACAAGGATTCCTCCTTTGATGTACTCAAGTTGTAATCCCAAACAGTACTTTGTTTTGCCTAGGTCTTTCATTTCGAATTCTGCTTTTAAGCAGTCGACTGTTTGGGAGATCTCACCAGATGTTCCGAGGATGTTTAGATCATCCACGTATACTGCTATGATTACAAATCCTTTGTTTGAGTACTTCTTGATGAAGATGCATGGACTGATGGGGTCATTTTTGTAGCCTTCTTTGATGAGGTAATCGCTGAGACGGTTGTACCACATACGCCCACTTTGTTTCAGTCCATACAAGGATTTGTTCAGCCTGATGCAGTATTGATCTCGAGATGCATTTTTGTCTTTTAGTTCAATGCCATCTGGGAGTCTCATATATATTTCGTTGTCCAGGGGCCCATAGAGATATGCGGTTACAACATCCATTAACCGCAGATCAAGATTTTCTCTTATGGCCAGACTTATGAGGAATCGGAATGTTGTTGCATCCACCACTGGAGAATAAGTCTCCTCATAATCGATTCCGGGTCTCTGTGAGAATCCTTGTGCTACAAGCCGTGCTTTGTATCGAACGACTTCACCGAGTTCGTTCCTTTTGCGCACAAAGACCCATTTGTGGCCCACTGGCTTGATGTGTGATGGGGTCCGGATGATCGGACCGAACACGTTTCTGAGTTTGAGACTCTTTAACTCCACGTTTATGGCTTCTTTCCATTTTAGCCAATCTGTTCGATGTGTACACTGTGTTATTGACGTGGGTTCTAGATCCTCTTGCGTGAGCGCAACATCAAGTGCTACTTTGTATGCAAAGAGTGCATTTAAGTCGACTTCTTTTCGATTCCATTGTATTCCGGACATATTGTAATTGATGGAGATCTCATTGTTATCTTCTGAACCTGGAGATTCGGCGTCCCGAACTTCCATTGAGGGTTCATTAGATTGAGTCTCAGCCGCGGCTATGTCTGATATTGCAGGAATCCCGGTTTCGGTTATTGCACCTTTCTTTGATTTCCGGAGATTCTTATCTTTGGAACCGAGAGGTCTGCCCCGTTTGAGACGTGGTGCAGACTCTGTAGCAACTTGGGTCTGTCCCGTTGGGACAGCTATTCGTACTGGTGCATTACAAGCTGGGATGTACGATTTGGTTACTTTGGTCGGGTCAGCAAAGGAATCTGGCAATTGATTAGCTAGCTTTTGATAATGAATAATCTTTTGGATCTCTGAATCACATTCTAGAGTCCGAGGATCTTGCCAATGTAATGATGTTTGATTCCATGAAAGATCTTTGACCAGCTTGTTTGTCTCACCACCTAAAGAGGGATATACCGATTCATCGAATTGGCAATCCGCATATCTGGCCTTGAAGAGATCTCCAGTGGTTGGCTCGAGATATCTTATGATGGTGGGAGAGTCAAAACCAACATATATTCCCATCCTTCTTTGAGGTCCCATTTTGGTTCGATGTGGTGGAGCAATGGGTACATATACTGAACACCCAAATGTTTTGAGATGGGAGATGTCTGGCTCATGACCCGAGAGTAGTTGGGATGGGGAATATTTGTGTTCACTAGATGGCCGGATGCGTATGAGTTCAGCAGCATGTAATACTGCATGTCCCCATGCTGAGGCCGGGAGCTTTGATCTCATGAGTAATGGTCGGGCTATCCATTGAATGCGTTTAATGAATGATTCAGCCAATCCATTTTGAGTATGGACATGTGCTACAGGATGTTCCACGGTTACCCCCATGGCCATACAGTAGTCATTAAACGCTTGTGAGGTAAATTCACCAGCATTTTCAAGGCGGATAGTCTTTAGTGGGAAGTCAGAGAAATGGGCCCGCAATTTTATGATTTGGGCCAAGAACCTAGCGAAGGCTTGGTTCCGAGAGGACAAGAGACAAACATATGACCAACGGGTCGATGCGTCTATAAGGACCATGAAGTACCGGAATGGTCCGGAAGATGGATGTATAGGTCCACAGATATCGCCCTGGATTCTTTCTAGGAAATGAAGTGTTTGTTTAGAGATTCTAACTGGTGAGGGCCGAGTGATCAATTTGCCTTGAGAACAAGCTGTGCACATGAGGTGTTGAGGATAAGCTCGGTTTTCTTTGAGGGTATGCCCTTGAGAGTTTTGAATTAGTTTACGCATCATATTTGCACCGGGATGACCGAGCCGGTCGTGCCAAATAGTATAATCAGTAAACCGGGCTTTGAGAGTGGTATTAGCTTCAATCATACTGACTTTAGCATGGTAAAGTCCAGTAGAGAGCGCGGGTATGGTTTCGAGGATTTGTTTATGGCCGTCTACGGTTTTAGTGACTAGGAGGGATTCTTTGTTCCCTTGACCTTGGGTTTCTATGTGGAAACCATTCTGTCTTATATCCTTGAAGCTCAGAAGATTTCTCTTCGAACTAGGAGAATATAGAGCATCTGGTATTTCAAGTTGTGTGCCATTTGATAGCAACACATAGGCATGGCCATATCCTTCGATAAGGTTTGAGGGACCCGCGATGGTGCTAATATTTGCGGTTTGATAGGTTAGGTTTATGAAGTAACTTTTGTTTCTTAAGATAGTGTGGCTGGATCCACTATCTACGACTATGGTTTCCATTTGCTGGTGTGCTTCATTATGAATAGAAGATAGAATTCAGTATTGAGGAATTCAGAAAATGTGATAAATCATAAAGTAAAGCAGTGTCTGAGAATAAAGGCAAATGGAAAAAAAAATGAAACAAATCCCAAAATGAAAAAAAAAGAAAGAACAAAATCAAATTGTATCAGAGTTTCAGATGATTGAATTAATCGAGGAGATCAGCTGTTTCATAATCCATGGGGTCGGTCTGCTCGTTTGTGGTGTTCTCATCATCAAGGAGGTCGTCACCTTCCAGGTTAGCAGCATCGACTGGCTGAGTCATGTTGGCTTCAGCAGGAGCTTTTCCGTACTTCTGGTATAGATCGCAGTGGATCTTGGGGGTGCGACATTGCTTTGTTGGGTGGTTGAACATCCCACATCTGGTACAAGCAGAGTGATCGGGGTTGGTGTGGCGGGTCGGCTTGGTGATGCCTCGACCACGACCAGGACCATAACTGAGGTTAGGTCGGTTGCCACGACCATGTCCGTGTCCACGTCTTCCACGTCCATGTCCTCGGCCATTACCACGTCCATTACCACGTCCACGGCGGTGATCTGAGGATCTATCGGGTTGAACATGGTAGGACTCTTGACGAGAAGCTGGGACAGGAGCCGATCCCGGGGGCCTCATAGCGCTGTTCCTCATAAGCAGCTGGTTATTCTTCTCAGCGAGGAGAAGACAGGACAACAAGTCTTCGTACAATGTGTGTTTCATTGCACGGTATTGTTGTTGGAGCACAACATTCTCTGTGCTGAATGTGGATAATGTTTTCTCGAGGAGATCATTATCTGTCACATCCTCGCCACAGAGTTTCCGGATGGCAACAATACGAAAGAGTTCGTTGTTGTAATCATCTACGGATTTGTAGTCCTGGAACCGAAGGTTCTTCCAGTCGAAATCTGCCTGAGGCAACTGGACCATTTTCTGATGGTCATATCGCTTTTTCAGCGCTTGCCACAATTCAAGTGGATTCTCAAGAGTGAGATATTGCTGCTTAAGGCTCGAGGCCAGATGATGGCGTATGTGACATATCGCCTGAGACTGTCCCTTACGGGATGCGGTGTTACCGTCGGTAATACACGCATCGAGTTCTTTCGATGCAAGGAACAAGCGCATGTCTAGGGCCCACTCGAGGTAGTTATCCCCGGAGACGTGAAGGGCCTCGAATTTCACATTTCTGAATGTTTGACATCTGAAACATGAGATTGATTTTGTTAGGGATTGTTTTGAGAAAATTTTGAATGCTGATGATGAAACTTTCTATTTTGAGAATATTTCTATTTTAGGAAAGTTTCTAAATTTGGAAAGTTTCTAATTTGGATAATTTTCTAAATGAGGAAAGTTTCTATGTCGGGAAAATTTCTATATGAGGAAAGTTTTTATATGAGGAAACTTTCTATTAGAGGGAACTTTCTCGGAAATAGTAAATTTTAAAGGGTATGGTTTTAGTTACCCCGAACATGATGTCGGTTTAATAGCTGTGATTTAATCGGTTAAAGCTGAATATAATTTCGGTTAATGAGAACCAGGTTTAGCCGGTTTTAGGCGGTTTAGGAGGAACCCTAGGGGAGCCGAATATGATTAGGGTTTTATCTAGGGTTTTAACGGTTTGGAAAACATATTTTTGGATGTGATTTCGAGATCTATAGGATCTGTGGTCGATGGTTTTAATAATTTCACAAGGACAACAAAGAAATCACGTGAAAAGGACTAGGGTTTAAGCATTATGACTTACGATTTTGAAGATTACAAAATCGTGAATCAAGCTTAGGATTTAGGGTTGATTTTCTTAGTTTATTCAATCAAGTGTTTCAAGCAAGAGAATCAACAATCAAAATAAGCTGCAACAAGCTTATTAAACATGAAGAAAATCGAATAGGTTTATGCCATAAACATGGCCAAAAACGGTTGTTAGGTTTTTGTAGATTAGGGTTTTATAAAACGAGTTTAAAACCTTTGAACATGCATAAACTTGTAATTTAAACAATCAATCAACAAGTTATCAATCAATCATCAGAGTATCAAACACTTTCAATCAATTAGAGATCGATTTTTTTTTTTTTTTTTTATAGGGTTTTGAAGTGTTTAAACAACAGGTTCTATGGCTCTCAGTTTTAGAAGATACATTTTCCACCTTTGGATTTCTGACAGGCTAATGAAACTGGGAGCTAATAGACCTCAGTTAGCCGCTACAAATTCCAAGGATTGATCACCAAAACTGGAGAAGCTGCTGGTTGAAGAAGGAAAAACTCGGATCTGGTTTTTTTTTTTTTTTTTTTTTTTTCGGTTGATCGTCGTGTACTGTAAGTGTGCGTGAGGGCGCGTCCGACGTTGGATCGACAAACGGTTTTCACCAGTAGATTCGTCTCGTCGAGGGCTTCGATTTGATATGTAGATAGTCTTCTGGTTCCTCACGGTTTGGAAGATATGCGTCTTTTAAGTTTCGACTTGCTTTTAGGGTTTTGGTGATGGCCGGATTTATTAGGGTTTTTCGCTCAGAGAGTCTTATCGTACTGATAACGTGTTGTGAAAACTTAGAAACTTTATTAATCACTGGAATGTATATATAGAGTACATAGGGAATCTAGGTTAAGTACAATGCCCTGATGGGCCTAATGGACCGGTATAAAAGTCCATATATGATATGTGTTATAACATATATGTTTTATCCAACTGTATCGCAAAACCAAACTATATTTCAATTTGGAGGGGAAAACACTAAACAAAAGCGATTGACTTGGGAATATTGTTGACTTATTAACTGGTGGAACTTAAAAAAAATTGTAATCTATGAAGAGAGACAAATTTCTAAATTGCTATTGGCTTGGGAATATTATTTTTATTTGGTAATTATACATGATTGTGCAGGCACATGGTTTTATTTGGCTGAGAAGACTTCTGACTTCTGACTTCTGCAAATGAGTAATGGTGAGAGGACTACAAAACTACATATTTAATAAAACGATTCACCTTACAACAAAGTCGTTGTAGAATAGTGGTATGTATTCCCGCCTGTCACGCGGGTGACCCGGGTTCGATGCCCGGCAACGGCGTTATTTTTTATGTCAATTTCCTTGACCACGTGAAATACAGTATGGGCTGAATCGGTCTACTATTGGGCCCAGATAGGCCCACACGCCTTAATCAAAACTTTAGATTACTCCTCTCTTTTAGAATCTTCAACATTTGTTTCTGATCTTTGGCGTTTGTCCGTAGATCGAATTATCCTTGTACCGCTCTTCGTAAATTGTATGAAGTTGAATGCTGTTCGATTTTGTCTTGTGCGAACATACATTATTAACTGTTTCAGCTCGGAAGAAGAAATAGCATCAGTTATATAATACTGTGAGCACAAGAATTTTTAGCATTCTGAGGCATTTGATTGATTTGCTTTTCCTTGTCTTAGATACTGAGATTAAAAGCAGCACTTCAAGAGAATTACGGGATGTATTTATGTAAGTAAATTAGCTTTTGTGTTCTGTCTTATTTTTGGAATTGTCCTTAGATCACAACATGGCAACTTCAGTTCTTTACTATTTGCCTGGCCACTTCAGTTATTTTCTTTGACTTTTGTATTTCAAGAAATTTTAACAAATTGAGAAGAAGAAAAAAAAATCCATAGGTTCTTAAAATGGAAAAGAACAGATTCCTCTGCTGTACATTATTTGCTTGTCTCAGTCGCAGTTTCTTTTTCTCTCTCGCTATTCAAATTTGAGAAAATGTACACAAGTTTTCTCAGTACAATGTTGTCAGTTTTTTTACCAACTTTGTTGTCAATGCATTGTAGATGGAGCTGGATGTTGCTGCGGTATCGGTGGAACCGGATAAGCCGGTACAGGATAAGGAGCAACTCCAAGATGATGATGATGATGGTGATGATGAGGTACCATTGGAGGTGGAAGCATCACAGGTGTACCAACAGCTGAACCCATATGATCAGGTGGTGCAATGATCGGTTGTCCCATGGGTGCACCACCGTACATCCCTAATCCAGCCATTGTGGCACCAGGATGATGCGGTGGTTGCGGCTGTGGCTGTGGCTGTGGTTGTGGCTGAGCTGGTCTATGTTTAACCACTTGTTGTTGTTGTTGTTGTTGTTGTTGTTGTCCTGTAACTGCAGGAGCTTGATTGTTCACAGTTGTTATGTCATGAATGCTAGACCGTCTTCTGTCTCGGTTCATCGAGTTAAGCCTGATGAAGTATTTTTGAGCATGGCTTGCTACTTGGGTCGGTGTTCTTGAGATCACAAAGTTCCTTGATATGCTTCTCCAATCTCCTTTCCCAAATTTGTCCAAACCCAAAAGAAACAACCTTTCAAGAACACAAAAAAAAAAACAGAGGATTGAATAAAGGTAAGATCTTTTTTTTCACAGAGTCTCTAAAGATTGAGAATTCTCGTTGACTGTGTATAGTAGATAAACGAAAGAAGGAAGAAGAAGAAAACCGATGCTCTTCCTCTGTCCATGGAATCCCTTTTCTTCTCTCTTGCTCAGCTCTGGAACCACTTCTCCCTCCTCCTCCTCCACCGCCATTGGAGCTACTTGTCCCGGAGGCTCCATGATTTGGTTTCTTCTCCGATGATCCGCTTCCGCCGGAGGAATGACCGTCTCTGTTCGCCGGAGAAGTTGCTGCTGCTGCTGCTTCGTCGATGGCGATGCCTTTTCTGTGATAACGAGGTAAAGGGACATGACCATTCTCGATCGCCTTGACATCTTCTAAAAGGATTTGGTAATGTTTCTTTACTTCTTCTGATGATTTGGTTGGAACCATTGACGCCATTTTCGTCCATTGATCATCTGTTAACTCTTCCTCTACACAATGCATCGCAATTGCGTTCTCGAATGCTTTCTCTTCTTCTCTGCTCCATGTCACCGCCACAGTCTCCATTTCGATTTTTGCTTCAATCTCTCTGTGTTTCTCTCTCTCCTCTTTTTCTTTCTCTTCTTTGGCTTTGGATTAATCGTGTGGTGGGCATGATAGTGTTCCTGTAACGTATGTGAATGGGTCAGATTCTTTGCTTTTTTGGAGTTTTGTGAAACTAAATTTCTTTGTGTATTTAAGGTGCGCACGATAAATGTATATGCGCATGATAAGAGTGGAAATGCGCATCAATCAGTTGGGTTCATTTTCTATTGTCACTCATAAGGAAAGAGTAAGATAAGATTCTTGTAGTTGACGATCACTCTCACTTTTCTTCTAAATTGTTCCCCATTCTTTATAGATTTGGTATTTATTTCGGTTTATTAAAATTTTGTTTTGTTTGTAAACAAATCTAGTTCAAAATATTCAAATCTGGTTTCAATTATTCATTTGTGTATCTATTTAATATATATATATATATATAAATTCATTTTTACTCTATATTTTAATTAATTAATTACGACTTAAAAACATACATTAGGTTTCTCACCTTTTAACACTTGGTATTTAACTATTAACCAAGAAGATACAACGATCTAGAATAACAATGTAAGGATAATAAGATGAGGTTCTTATTTTGGTGATTGCGTTGGCACACCCATTAGCCTCTCTGATCCTGAAACTTGAATCTAGTCATCAAAAAACTTCTCATTCTATTCCAATGATTTTGATAGTATAACAGTGGAGTCATCTTGGCCATTAGAGGGGTTTCTTTGCGGCTTGAATTAGTATCTGGGATTCGCTCTCGAATATTACTTGTCGGACTCAAAGATTGTTTCACACAAAGACCAATTTCTAAATAAATTCTTATATTTTATTTAGGTTTTTATTGTCTGCATTTGTTATTTATTGTCAAAGTTATGAACAACAACTTTCTTGTGTTGTTCATTAATCACTATTTACATTATATAGTATAAGATCACCAGATTAATCACAAACGTGTAAGTGTGGTGAGTCTGTAATTCAAAAGTCATAGGATTGAACCCTGTCTCTGATATCATGTTAAAATTTTAAGCAGAATTTTATTATGTTAATCATTAACTGCTCATTAACTTAATGAGATTGGATTTTTAGCTTAATTTTTGTAGAAGTATTTATTTAGGTTTTTCTTATTTGCATTTGTCGTTTATTGTCAGAGTTGTAAACAATAATTTTATCGTATTGTTCAATAATTACTAATTACACATATATAGTACAAGATGGTCAAATTAATCACAAAAATGTAAGCGTAGTGAGCGTATCACATGTCATAGAATCGAAACCTATCTCTGATATTATGTCAGAATTATAAACAAAATTTTACTGTGTTAATCATTAAACAATAGTTAACTTAATAGGATTAGATTATTTAGGTTTTTATTATTTACACTTGTCGTTTATTGTCAGAGTTATGAACAAACTTTGCCATGTTGTTCAATAATTGCTAATGACATATAGTACAAGAACACCAATTTAATCACAAAAATGTAAGTGTGGTGGACCTATAACTCATATGTCGAACCTGTCTCTGATATCATGTCAGAATTATAAGTAAAACTTTACTGTGTTAATCATTAACCACTAATTAACTTAATGAGACAAATTTCTTAGCTCAAATTTTGTATAAATATTTTATTTAGGTTTTTATTGTTTGCATTTGTCGTTTATTGTCAGTCATAAACGAAAACTTTTTTGTGTTGTTTAATAATTACTCCCATATATATATATATAATAAAAGATCGTCAGATTCAAACATGTAAGCATGGTGGACTCATAAGTCACATGTCACAAGATCGAAACTTGTCTCTGATATCATGTCAGAATTATAAGCGGAAACTTTTTTAGGGTTTTATTGTTGTATTTGTCGTTTATTACTAGAGTTATGAACATAAATATTTTTGTGTTGTTCACTAATTACTAATTATACAAGAATTATCAAATTAATTAAAAATATATAAATGTGGTGGAACTATAACACACATGTCATAGGATCGACACCTGTTTCTACTATCATTTCAGAATTATTAGCGGAAACTTTTGTGTTAATCATTAACTACTCATTAATTTATTGGGCTTGGATTTTTGGCCTAATTTTTATAAGTATTTTATTAGGGTTGTTTTGTTTGCATTTGTCGTTTACTCTCAGAGTTATGAATAGAAACATTTTCGTGTTGTTCACTAATTACTAATTACACATATAGAGTACAAGATTGTCAGATTAATTAAAAATATGTAAGTGTGGTGGAACTATAACACACGTGTCATAGGATCGAAACCTGTTTCTGGTATCATGTCAGAATTATAAGCGGAAACTTTTTGTGTTAATCATTATCTACTAATTAACTTATTGGGCTTGGATTTTTAGCTTAATTTTTATAAGTTTTCTATTATTTTTATTTGTCGTTTACTATCAGAGTTATGACCAGAAACTTTTTCATATTGTTCCTTAAATACTAATTACACATATAGAGTACAAGATAGCCAGATTAATTACAAACATGTAAGCGTGGTGGAACTATAACACACATGTCATAGGATTAAAAACCTGTTTCTGATATCATGTTAGAATCATAAGCGGAATTTTTTGTGTTAATCATTAACTAATAATTAACTTATTGAACTTGGATTTTTAATCTTATTTTTTTAAGTATTTTATTTGGGTTTCTATTGCTTGCATTTGTCTTTTACTATCCGAGTTATGAATGGAAACTTTTTTTCGTGTTGTTCATTAATTACTAATTACACATATAGAGTACAAGATCGCCATATAAATTACAAACATGTAATTGTTGAAATTATAACTCACGTGTCATAGGTTCGAAACCTGTTTTGTGATATCATATTATAATATATAAGCGGAAATTTTTGTGTTAATCATTAACTACTAATTAATTTATTGGGTTTGAATTTTCAGCCTAATTTTTTATCAGTATTTTATATAGGTTTTTATTGTTTGTATTTTTTGTTAACTATGAGATTTTTGAACAGAAATTTTTTCGTGTTATTTATTAATTACTAATTACATATATAGAGTACAAGATTGCCAAATTAATCACAACAATATAAGTGTGGTGTATCTATAACTCATATGTCACAGGATCAAAACCTATCTTTAATATCATGTCAGAATTATAAGTGAAACTTTACTGTATAAATCATTAACCACTAATTAACTTAATGAGATAGGATTATTAGCTCAATTTTTGTCTAAGTATTTTATTTAGGTTTTTATTGTTTGCATTTGTCGTTTATTGTTAGAGTCATGAACGACAACGTTGTCGTGTAGTCCAATAATTACTAATTACACATATATAATACAAGATCGCCATATTAATCGCAAACATGTAAGCATGGTGGACTCATAAATCATATGTCATAAGATTGAAACTTGTCTCTGATATCATATCAGAATTATAAGAAGAAACTTTTTGTGTTATTCATTAACTACTAATTAACTTATTGGGCTTGAACTTTTAACCTAACTTTTTTATAAGCATTTCATTTAAGTTTTTATTATTTGCATTTGTCGATTACTCACAGACTTATGAACCTGAACTTTGTGTTATTCATTAATTACTAATTACAGATATAGAGTACAAGGTCGCCAGATTAATTACAAACGAGTAAGCGTGGAGAAACTATAACTCACGTTCATATGATCAAAACCTGTTTCTGATATTATGTCGGAATTATAAGCAGAAACTTTTTTTGTTAATCATTAACTACTAATTAATTTATTGGGTTAGATTTTTAGCCTAATTTTTTATAAGTATTTTATTTAGGGTTTTATTGTTTGCATTAGTTGTTTATTATCAGAATTATGAACATAAACTTTATTGTATTGTTCATTAATTACTAATTACACATATAGAGTACATGATTGCTAGATTTATTACAAATATGTAAGTGTGGTGGAACTATAACACACATGTTATAGGATTGAAACATGTTTCTGATATCATGTCAGAATTGTAAGCGGAAAAATTTTATTTTAATTATTAACTACTAATTAACTTATTGAGCCTGAATTTTTAGCCTAATTTTGATAAGTTTTTATTGTTTGGATAATTGCATTTATCATTTACTTTCAGAGTTATAAAAAGAATTTTTTTCATGTTGTTCATTAATTATTAATTACACATATAGAGTAAAAGATCGCCAGATTAATTACAAACATGTAAGTATGATAGAACTATAACACACATGTCATAGGATTGAAACATGTTTCTGATATCATGTCAAAATTATACAAGGATTTTTTTTTGTTAATCATTAACTACTAATTAACTTATTAGACTTAAATTTTTAGTCTTATTTTTTATAAGTTTTTTATTTAAGTTTTTATTGTTTTCATTTGTCGTTTACTATCTAAGTTATAAATGAAAACTTTTTTCGTGTTTTCATTAATTACTAATTACATTTATAGAGTACAAGATCGACAGATAAATTACAAACATGTAAGCGAAAATTGAACTATAACTCATGTGTCATAGGATTGAAACATGTTTCTGCTATCATCTCAGAATTATAAGCGAGAACTTTTTGTGTTAATCATTAACTACTAATTTTATTGGACTTGAATTTTTAGTCTAATTTTTTAATAAATATTTTATTTAGGTTTTTATTATTTTTATTTGTCGTTTACTATCAGAGTTATGACCAGAAACTTTTTCATATTGTTCCTTAAATACTAATTACACATATAGAACAAGATCGCCAGATTAATTACAAACATGTAAGCTTGGTGTAACTATAACTCTCACATGTCATAGGATCGAAACCTGTTTCTGATATCATGTCAGAATTATAAGCAAAAACTTTTTGTGTTAATCATTAACTATTCATTAATTTATTGGGTTTGGATTTCTAGCCTAATATTTTATAAGTTTTTTATTTAGCTATTTCTGACCTTAAACTCTATTTTTAGAGTAAAATCATATCCATTGTCTATAGTTTACTCTATAAATAGAAAAATGAACAATATTTCTCTATTTATAGAATATAATTTTTTTTATATACAAAACAATCATTAAATGTTCATATCTTTTTATTTCATATTTTAGCAATAAGATATCATATAATAGTATAATACTATACTTAATTAAAATATATTAATCATAATTAATTATATAATCATATAAAAGTTTAAAATACAAAAACAAAATATAATAAATAATTTTTTCTAAATATAATTATGTTGAATTATTGTTAAAAATAAAATAAATATAAATTTTTTTATAAAATTTAAAAATAGAAGATTTTATGAATAATTAATAATAAGATTTATAGTCAAATATGGAGACAACTATTGTAGTAAAGTCCTTCTCTATTTTTAGAGAAAAATAATAGAAGCAATCATTGCAGATGTTCTAATCATCCTATTCCTAAGTTGGCCTGAAAATATATGATGCCTAAAGCATACAACCAAGAAAATTTCCTTTTATTATAATTATATCAATGAAACTTGAGTGAAAAAAATTGATGTTTTTAACATTTTAATAAAATATAGCACCTAAAGCCATAGGTTTGTGAGCTTTAGCCCAAGGCCAAAAAATTGGTATTTGAATAATTGTTTCCATTGTTTGGGAAATACCACAATTTATAGAACTTATACAACTACTTATCGGTTGAAAATTAAAAAAAAAAAAAAAAAAAAACTTAGTTCCAACTTCATTGATGAATTACTGGGTCTCTATTGGATACATTACTTGTATATTTTACTTTAGGCTCATAATAGGCCCTTATAATCAATATTGTACGAAAGATAAAATAATTTATACAGTCCCAAATTATAGCATTCGTTTACAGCTGGAAAATGAATCATGTTTAACGTAATGTACGGAAGAAGAACTATAGAAGCTTTTTTTTTTGTGGGTTTCAATTTTCAATAGATCAATTATGTGAATTAATTAAGTAAACAAATACATATTCTAATATGAAAAAAGGCCAAAAGTTTGGGATATGAGAATATTAGAGTAAAATTTAAGAAGATGTCCGCTGCAATGCAACATTTGCGTGTTTTCACATCCATGCATGTGTACTATATTTATGCCATCAAATCTTATTTAATCATTCTGAGTGTACATTATGCAAATATTGGAAAATATAAAATATTCAGTAAAGGTTTCAGCTATCTTTGCTTCATTTGCTGTGTGTATAATTGTATATGTGTATGGATATTAGTTACTAATAGTAAGTTGCTATAAATATAATATAAGGGGAAAAACAATTAAAAAAAATCAAACAAAATCATATATATATATACATGCCTTTTAAATTCTCATTGTTTTCATCAGACAGCTGATATTATGTATTGAACTAAGTAGTAATGATTCACTGGTTGAAATTAAAAGGTTCATTCTGAATGTTATCTGACAACTGATATTTATGTACCGAGTTTCCTACTTCGATTTTAATTTTTTTGGCTATCGTAAACGTTTTCGATCATAAGAAAACCTGGAGTTTCCTGAGCTTCAGAGACTAGCACTCTAGATATCGGCTTGGAATTCTTCCGGTTACAACGTATCTAAATATTGTGTGTCCTACTTGTTTTGTAAACGAGTGTTCTTAAAAGAAAATATATCGGACTATTAAATTAATATAGTTAAATCAAATCATAGAAACTTCATAGCAAACTTTATCAAAACAAGAAATTTCGTAGGTACAACTCAAACCATATATAGTTCTCTCAGTTGTTTCAATTAATCCATATTGAGGCAAATGTGAACATATTTTTCTCTATTATCTTTATATTTGATAAAAGCGTAGAAAAGAAAAGCGAATGTAATATCATGAAAGTCAGCATCAAGTCAACTACCACCGTGCATTATGGACGAATGTGCAATATTCAAAACGTTGGACTGCTCAAACATATTTTTTATACAGCTTTCTTTCGAATCTAAATTATCCTATTTATTAAATTGCACAGAACTTAATTTGAGTATTTTTCGGCGTAATGTGAACCCCTATATCGAAACTATATAAAAAAGAAATATATAGATTAAAAAATGTGCTCAACCTCCAATAAAATTAGCTCATACCAAATACAATTTAATAAATTCAAAACTTTGACTATTTGGCCTCTTTTAATGGCACCACTCCACCTCCCATTCATCCTTGAACGTAAAGTAACCTTTTCACTCTTTTTCTTTCCCTCATTTTCATTCATTTTTTCACAAACCCATACATATTTGCCAAATTTTACCCCATATCATTAAGTTAAATTTTATACTATATTTGCTTATGTACTTTATTCTCCTAACTTATATAAAACTCGATTCAAGCTTTAAGTTTTTTGGAGATTAACAAAAATAAAACACCTTTTTAAAATCTTAAAATCTCATATCTTTTTGCTCTAACCATTTCTCTTGTCTCTCTCGTTCTCTCTCTGTCTCCATGAGCTCTCTGGCTTCTTCATCTTCATCAATATTTTCTCTACAAGGCCATGAAGAAACACCCTAAGCCGTGTAGCTTTCTCTTCTATATCTCTCTACTCTCTGTGTTGTTCGTCTTTCTTCTCATTTCTTTTGCTTTTACGACTTCTTACAAGCGTAAATCCGGCATTGATCTTAGCCATAAGAGAATTCTAGCGAGTAATTTTGACTTTACACCGTTTCTCAAGAACAAAGATCGAACTCAACATCAACGTCGAAGTCAAGGCCTGACAGGAGAAGAAACCGGTTCTTGGTATAACGATGACGAACGGATCGTACCTAGCGGTCCAAACCCTTTGCATCACTAGCTAAAAGGTTTTTGATTTGATAGAATTTTGTTGCTTATTTGGATTAATATATTTTTATGACTACTACATACATGATCGTTGATCATGATTATAGATTGTGTAGTGTATTTTATTGATGTAGCCATTATTTTTGTTTATGGTTTCCTGATCTGAGAAATGGGAGTCGTTAATAACTTATACATATCAATAGTTTCAGTTTTTGTGTATTTCTAGTTAAGGATCTCTCCGTTATCACTACTTCTTAAGATATTCACTGAGCATAATTAGATATTTAGATGTATATGAATCCATTGCAATAAAGGTACATTGCGTTAATTCAACTCAAATTAATTTATTGGCCATAGAGATAATAATTTTTATATATCTTTCTCATACTTTTAATAAGTTTATTACTTTTATTGTGAATGTTAAATTTAACTTTTTTACGAAACATTTTACTTTTCTTGATCGTATAGTTTCTGATATTATGTAAGAAAAGCTCTATATATATTTTTAATTGAAACACACTTGTTTTATATTAGATCTCAAACAGAGTTTACGGAGTACAATTGCAGGGCCTGTTTTGCCAAATGATCTGCCACACCATTTGCCTCTCTTGGCAAAAATTAAAAAAAAAAAAGAAATACACAGAATTAAAGGTCTATCATACACACTTTATTCAGTGAAATATTATAATATCAGTGTAACCTTACAATGTACGTCTATATATATGTTTTCATAAAAAGAAATCTACCAATACTATTCTATTAGAGAATATAACATTTGATCAATTAGCCCGTATGATAATTTAAGTCAACTTGCATACTGTTTCATATATTAATTATTTTCATTGATATAGCTAGCTAGTAAGTTATGGTGTGTTTTAACATGTTTTTTTTTCTTAAAGATATTCAAAAAGTTTTATTGAAAAATCACATAGTTGGTATTGACATTTCATCCGCAACAAAAACAATGCCACATTTGTAAAAAGATGGACCTAATCGATCACTCCAAATGTCAATAAAAAGGTGGTGTTTGTTTACTAGCCATTTTATTAAACTATCTACTGCGCGTTTGTGTTAATAAATAAATTCATATAAAGATGGAATCCGTCATCTGTTATGGATTCGAGTAGATCCATTTCGAGAATCATGATTTATAGAACATCTCGACTTCATTCCAAGTAGTGACATCACGGTTTCGTCAAAATTCCATATATTTGATTCGATTTAGCGATGGATCAAACATAAATTATCTTATGAATCTTCATACCTAATTATAAAATCATTTTACTTGATCAAGATTGTTGGTGGTGTACTCCGCACCCCCGGTTTAGTCCGGTATTGAACCGAGATCGGCCCAATTGATCCCGATTTACGATGGTTCATATCCGAAAAATACTCGATCCATTAACAGCTCCGGGCTTCTAAAACTCAATATCCGGATTTCGCGGAATATTTCCTAATCTTATCTAGAAAAAAGAAATATTCCTAAAAGATAATTTTCGAAGTTATTCTTATCTACTCTAGAAAATAAAGAAATCTGCAATATCAAGTTAAGAAGGAAAAGGAAAAGCGACCTGTTTCAACACCTATAAATACAAGAGTTGAGAAGAGAAGACCTAAAACACATCTGTAATATGAACTACGAATGGCTTGATCCCTCTTTTGGGTACGTAGGCAGCTCATCTCGAGTTTAGCTATAACTTTAATAAAATCTTTAAATTCTTTGTGTGATACTCGGTATCAACAATTAGCGCGCCAGGAAGAGGATCGAAAGATTCTTAAAAAAAAAACCTAAATCGGATGATGGCAGTATCTCCGATCTCTCTAATTGCCTTCACCACTAACATGAAGTTTTGACGGCATCTCAGAAAAAAGTCTTCGTCCGAAACCAAAGCTAAGTTTTACTCTGTTTAATTATTTTTATTATCTCATCGGTGGTTTTGAAAAATTCTCGGTTTGCAATAACCAATTGAAATAACTCAGCGTGGAATGGATCGATTCATGCTTGATTGAAAAATATTAAATTATTAAACTATATGGTTTCCTTCTTTACACACGTTTTGGATGGCAGTCTCTTTTTTCGATGACTTGTACGTGAAGAAAAACTTTGTCGAGGAAATTCAACGTCTACGGTGAGGTCGACACCAAAGAAATCATCGGCAAACAAAGGAAAACAGATATTTATCCCCATCGCTTCGAGCTTCCCAGAGCTCGGCCATCATCTCCGCAACGAAACCAAACCGATGTCGTACAGAAATCAGATTTTCTTTTCCCTTGGGCCTGCACAGATTTTTGGCCCACCTGAGATCATGAGATATTAAGCCCACATTCTGGCGCAAAACTATGTAAAGACTGAAGCCCATATCCCCCACGATCTGAACCTTGGGCGATATCTTCACAATCCTTTCTCGACGGTGAAGCAGAAGCAGCTCTGGTGACGTTAAACCCGATGAACCTCCGATCAGACCTGTGAATCACTGGCTGGAGAATTTAGAAAATTTCAAAGTAAAAGTCGACTTCCAAGAGAAAGCCGAACTCAAACTTCTCTAACAATGGCAACGTCATCAAACTCCGGACAAAAGCATAAGCAAAGCAAAAGAAGAAGAGGAGATCGTCACAACTCCTTCTCTAGAGTTCTCCAACTTCACCACCGATGCAGCTTTATCTCAGCTCGTCCTGACTCAAGTCTTCAACAGCAATTCACAAACTAATCTGGAATTCATTGGTCTTCATACGTCTTCTCCAATGGCCGTCTTTCCCGATAGCCAAAAAAAAAAAAAAAAAAACTAAGCCCAATGCAAATATTCGATTGAAACTTCTGCAATCTTCTGGCTAAGCATGGCGAGTCCACATCAAAGACGTCTTTCGACCTCCGCATTACGCCGTTCTCCGAATTCATCAACTAACCAAGTCAGCAAGTAGCCCGACAAACACACGAAGACAATTCTTCTGATTTTAGGCCCAACAATTGGCCCAAAATAATGTGAAAACTAAACCCCAATCTCCTGCAACAACGATGTTCTCACAATCCTTTCTCGAGGTCCAAACTCAGATGAATCTCCGGTTACGTCAAATCTGATGACCTTTACCAGACCTGCAACTCCTAGCGAACTGCAGATTTTCCGACCTAAGCCGTCTCCACTGCTGACCTTAACCGCAATTTTCTCCATCACCAGCATCATTACCACAGCTCAAATCATGGAGCCACCACGAGAAGTATCAATACATCACGGTTCTTTACGTAACCGCCTGTTTTTCTCCGTGATCTGTTCGGCGTTGTTATCAATCCCTCCAATGACTCCGTAAAGAACCGAGCTCAACAAATACGCAACAGCAACCAAAAGCTAAGTCTCATTTTCTTTGCTAAGTGCTATCATTCAGAGTCTCAAGGAAAATAAATATCTTCAAAAGCTTTAATTAAAATGTCACAGGATTTAATAAAAGAGTAGCGCCGGCTAGGACGCTTCAACAACACAAAAGTAACAACATATGCTCAAAAGCTTCAGCTCGTCAAATCATTCCGAGCAATACAACATTAGAAGGAGAACATTGACCGATCTCGTTTAAAGTTATTTAGCTCGTCAAACCAAGCTCCCTGAAATCCAGGTATCATCTATCAAAATTCTTTATTCAAAATATTCTCCATTCTGTCACAGGGTCCGTTCCCTCCAAACCGAGCTACGGTTTGCAAAAGAAACAAAAAAATCAGCTCACAAAAAACTTCTCTGAAACTCTACACAAACAAGCTCCAAGCTCTCACCACGCTTCTCCAAAGCCGTTTCATAAATAAAGATCTGGGCTCCTCCTTTACTCCAACACATTTACCAAATCCATCGGTTTGGATCAGAATTCCGGTTCAGCTTGGTTTTAGTTCAGATTTCGGTTCAGCTCAATTTTAGTTTGGAATTTCGGATTAGAATATTAATTGGGTTTCCAATCCAAAGCTTCAGTCAGCTCGGTTTTGAGTTATGATTTCAGCTCAGCTTAGACTTTTAGTTCGTCGAATTCAGATCTCTGTTTTAGTTCGTCGAATTCAGTTCATCAATTCAGTTCAAATCAGTTCGGTTCGGTTTCGTCGTCAACTTGAGTTCGCCAAATTCAGAATTTCATAGTTTCATTTTTTTTTATTCAGACTCAGTTCGGCACATAATTTCAGCTTCAGGTCATCAACTTGAGTTCGTCAAATTCAGAATCTCAGAATTTTAGTTTTGAATCAGAATTTGAGTTTGGTTCAGAAATTCAGCTTGGTTTAGAATTTTATTTCCACTTAGACTTTCGCTCAGAATTTCAGATATCAGATTCAGCCTTGATTCAAAGTTTCAGTTTGTTACTTTTAACCCATCAGCTTGAATTTTCAAACCGTTCATCAGCAACAGACCCTCTTCTACCGAGCTACACTACGCTCACCTACTAAAGTTTTTCAAGCTCATCAAACCGAACTTCTCAAAATTCAGGGTCCGTCCCTCAAAGCCGAACTGACATGTTCGCAGTCCCGACCGAACTCATCGGTATTACATCAACTTCCTGGCCAGTTGTTCGATAGCATTTCTCAACAATGTAACTCAAAAAGCCGAGATCCATCTTGCTAACACCCACATGGTGCCGTGGTAAACTCCACATCATAAAGCCGGGACCAGTCCCGCAATAAAATTCCTAAGTCACCAAGAACAATAAGCCGAGCCCATCTCGCACACTCTGGTTCGACTTAGGAAACCTTGAGTCCGTATCGTGTGTTTACAAGAGTTCGAACTTCACTCTTCCAGCACGAGAAAGCTCACTTGGGTCCCCCAGGCCGAGTTCATTTAACTCGCACAAATTAAGCCAAACTCCTCTGATTCGCACCGTAAGCCGAGTTCTCAACACTCGCAAATGTAAGCCGAGTTATCGCAATTCGCAACAGATTGAGTTGAAACTCATATAAGCCGAGCTAACAGCCTCGCAAAATTCCAATCTCAATTCACACCGGACTAAAAATACTCGTGAAATCCGCCGAACTCCTAGATAAACTCCTTCGCCAGACTGAGGGGGGGCTTACTGTTGATGGTGTACTCCGCACCCCCGGTTTAGTCCAGTATTGAACCGAGATCGGCCCAACTGATCCTGATTTACGATGGTTCATATCCGAAGAATACTCGACCCATTAACAGCTCCGGGCCTCTAAAGCCCAATATCCGGATTTCACGGAATATTTCCTAATCTTATCAAGAAAAAGGAAATATTCCTAAAAGATAATTTCCCAAGAAAGAAGGAAGTTATTCTTATCTACTCCACGAAATAAGGAAATCTGCAATATCAAGTTAAGAAGGAAAAGGAAAAGCGACCTGCTTCAACACCTATAAATACAAGAGGTCTACATCGAGAAGAGAAGACCTAAAACACATCTGTAATATGAACTACGAATGGCTTGATCCCTCTTTTGGGTATGTAGGCAACTCATCTCGAGTTCAGTGTTGGAGGTGAAAACCGCACCCCAGTTTTCTCCGGTACAAACCGAGATCGGTATAACATAAGCCCGGTTCACGAAGGAATGTACCGGGAAGACTAGGCCTGGTAAAATCTTGGGCCGAACGCAGCCCATTAAGCCAAGGTCGGTGAAAAGCTTCTCGAAGGAACCGAAGAGTTCCCCGAGTTCGGTCGAGAATAGGAAAGTTGCCTAAAGGAAAAAGGAAATTGCTACAAGAAAAAGAAAAGGACCGAGAGAAAATGAAAGTCCTCTCGGTCCCATATCGCTGAAGATGCTCTCGATGACCGACTCAGAGGATATATATATAAAGGAAGATGAATCGACACCAGAGAACGCAAGATATTCCAGAGAAGACTTAGAGACTGAGAACTCATTACGCTAGATTCTTAGTTTTATAAAGTCTTAAGTTCGTTATTCTTTACTTAATAACCGAACTCAGTTGTATTCTCTCGATTCGATCTAATAAAACCGAGTTTACCGATCTAAAATACTGTTCTGCCCCTTGTCGATATTCACATATCAACAATTGGCGCGCCAGGTAGGGGGCCTAAAACAGAATCTTCAGTCTTAGATCGGACTTCGGAGAGATCGAATCAGCAATGACGGATCAAACCAACATTCACGAGGAAGGAAACCCTCTCGGTGGAGAGAACGCTAACGTCCCAGCGGAACAGGGAGGAGGAATTCCTGACGAAAACACTGGAACTGTAGCCGGCCAAACCCCCGCAGCCGTAGGAGGTTATGGAACTGAATTGCTGCTCCAAATGTTCAACGCCCAATTTGAGGCCATTAACAAAAGGAGCGAGGAACGTTTCAGCCAGATGACAGCGCAAATCACCGAACTCAATCAAGCACGAACTCCTCTTCGAGTTCGGAACATTATCGACGACCTCAATACTGACAGAGACCCAGCCGGAACTATGAGGTCTACGCAGTCGGATCAGCAAATGCACCAGCATCAGATTTGAGCCGAGACGCCGAATTCGAAGCAATGAAGGCGCAACTTTGCGAGATCACTTCGAAGATACATCAAGCAACAAGCGCGGCTCCGGAGATTGAGCGCGTCATTCAGGAAACACAGAAAACACCCTTCACACCGCGCGTAGCAGGAATGCCGGTCAAACACATGGAGAAACTGAAGATAAAGATCTATGAAGGCAATACTGACCTCCGGCACTTTTTGACATCATTCGGCATCTGCATGAATCGATACCAGTTCAAATCCGCCGAGGAGAGAGATGCAGTTCAGTGTCAACTATTTGTGGAAAGTCTGGGAGGAGTAGCTCTCGACTGGTTCTCGTGACTCGAGGCCAATTCAATCGATAACTACAAGGAGTTGACGACGGCCTTCGTCAAACACTTCTCCATGTTCATCGGACAGAACACCAAAAACTCCGAGCTCTGGCAAATAGCTCAAGGACCAAGCAAGAGCCTTCGCGATTTCATCCAGCGCTTTAAGACGATTGTCGTAATTGTACAGTCAGTGATGAAGCCGCCCTCTTATGCCTTCAAAAAGAAGCTCGAATAAAGACTAGCTTCCGAAGCGCGATCACGCATAACCCTCCACAGACGTTAGAAGACGCACTACACCGAGCTAATACTTATATCACCGAAGAGGAAGAAGAGGCCGCCTATGAGCAGAGTTATTCGACAAAGCAACCCGAACGTTTGAAAGCAACAACTAACGAACCACAGTCGGGATACGGTCGAGGGTACGAGAATCGTAAGAAGTTCTACGCTAATGCGATCCAACAACCGACCAAACAGTGGAACAATAAATGGGTCCGCGGTGAAGAAGATCAGGACGAGTCCTTGTTCTGCGAATTCCATAACCGTAGAGGACATAGCACCGAAGAATGCAGACACTTGCGAGAATATCTACTCGGCCAATACCGAAAGAGGCCAATCTCAGTTGACGATCTCCGTCGCTTAAACACGCCTAAAAACAGTGGGCAAACCTCGATTGACGATCTCTGCCGTTCAAACATGCCTCGACCAAATAACGCACAGCTTGAGAACGCCATCACTAAGGATCCACCAACTCTACCGGCTTTACCGACGTTACCAGCTTTACCGGCGTTACCACCACCACCACCAAATCCGCCTGCTTTGCCCGAACAACAGAAACGCAATCGCGACGACCGAGCACAAGAGAACCATGCTCCCAAAGCAAGGAAACGCGTCAACATGATAATGGGAGCCATCGAAGCTTGCAGCTACTCGGTTCGCGCTATCAAAGAATACAGTAGACAGGCCGCCAGCGTGCCCAAAGTCCCGCACAAACCGCCGAAGGGAACACCTTTGGTATTCACCGAGGTCGACACAATCGGGTTGCATAAACCGCATAACGATGCCCTCGTCGTTGAACTACTTCTCGACGACGTCGAAGTTAGCCGCATTCTGGTCGATACAGGCAGTTCGGTCAACATTATCTTCAAGGAAGCACTGGATCAGCTCGATTTATCATCAGATAGGATTGAGCCTTTTATCGAGCCAATTACAGGTTTCGATGGAGAACGCTGCATGACGGTCGGCATGGTCAACATCCCGATCTACCTCGGTGGAGTCGCGAAAATTATCCAGTTCCTCATCCTCGACAAACCGGCGATCTACAACGCTATTCTCGGTACGCCTTGGTTACACGCAATGAAGGCGGTCGCCTCGACGTACCAGCAATGTCTAAAGTTCCCGACTCCCAACGGTGTCTACACTCTCCGAGGAAACCAAGCCGTCGCTCGATCATGTTACATAAACGAATGCAAACTTCATTCGGCCAACCAAGCTTGTGTCATCAGTTCGTTAGGACCGACAAACGAGCTCGTCGTCCAGCAGACAAAACCTAAGCAGGAGTCGATCGTTCAAGTTTGCATCGACGAACTAAGGCCAGAGCGTCAAGTCGGAATCGGCGCCGAACTCGACCCAAGCATCCGCGAGCCACTCGTTCATTTTCTGAAACAGCATTCGTCAACCTTCGCTTGGTCGGTAGAAGATAAGCCCGGAAGACCCACAGATCGCGTGTCATGAGCTCAACATCGATCCAACGTATAAGCCAATCAAGCAGAAACGCCGAAAGCTCGGAACAGAGAAGGCACAGGCTGTCAACGATGAGGTCGAGCGGTTGCTCAAAGCAGGATCCATCACTGAAGTCAAATATCCTGATTGGTTAGCAAACCCCGTAGTCGTCAAGAAGATGAATGGTAAATGGAGGATCTGCGTCGACTTTACCGATCTCAATAAGGCATGTCCGAAAGATAGTTTTCCGTTGCCTCATATCGACCGCCTTGTGGAAGCGACTGCCGGTAACGAGCTACTTTCGTTTATGGACGCATTCTCCGGATAAAATCAGATTCTTATGCATCCGCAAAATAGGGAAAAGACATCTTTTCAAAGACCGCGGCATATACTGCTATAAGGTCATGCCCTTTGGCCTGAAGAATGCTGGAGCAACGTACCAACGACTGGTAAACCGAATGTTCGCGAGCCAGCTCGGGCGAACTATGGAAGTTTACATCGACGATATGCTCGTGAAATCACTCATCGCTTCCGATCACGTCGATCATCTTCGCACATGCTTCGATATTTTGGACCAGTACGGCATGAAGCTTAATTCCACTAAGTGTGTGTTCGGCGTAACATCTGGAGAGTTCCTCAGATACATAGTCACACGGCGAGGCATTGAAGCTAATCCAAAAAAGATTGCAGCTATACTCGAGCTCCCATCGCCGACAACCAAACGCGAAGTTCAGCGACTCACTGGACGCATTGCAGCACTAAATCGATTTATATCCAGATCGACAGACAAGTGCTTACCTTTCTACCAACTTCTTCGCGGTAACAAACATCTCGAATGGAATGAGAAGTGCGAAGAAGCTTTTGCTGAGCTAAAGAAATACTTGTGTACGCTGCCAGCCTTATCCAAACCCGAAACCGGCGAGACACTTTATCTCTACATTGCAATTTTGGAGTTCGCGGTCAGCAGTGTTCTTGTTCGAGAAGATCATGGCGAGCAGAAGCCAATCTTCTACACAAGCAAATCCCTTGATGGGTCGGAGTATCGTTACCCGACCTTGGAAAAATTCGCCTTTGCTGTGGTTATTTCCGAGAGGAAATTACGCCCGTATTTCCAATCTCACTCGATCGTTGTCCTAACTGACTACCCTCTTCGCACTATCCTCCATAGCCCAAGTCAATCCGGACGACTCGCCAAATGGGCCATTGAACTCAGCGAATATGACATTGAATATCGAGGAAGAACTGCAACGAAGTCTCAAGTCCTGGCGGATTTCTTGGTCGAACTCCCACCTGAGCTCGTCGAAGTTAATCCTGTCACGCAACCTTGGATTCTCCACGCCGATGGCTCCTCTTCCCATAAAGGATCCGGCATCGGGATACGTCTCAAGTCCCCCGAAGAGGAGGTGATCGAACAATCATTCCGCCTTGGCTTCCCGGCATCCAACAATGAAGCCGAATACGAAGCGCTAATTGCCGGACTACGACTTGCTAAAAATATTGGTGCCGAACACGTACACGCCTACTGCGACTCTCAACTTGTGGCTAACAAATTTCACAGCGAATACGAGGCCAAGAACGATCGCATAGACGCGTACCTCAAAGTCCTTAAGGATGTTGCTTCGAAGTTCTCAACCTTCGAGCTTACAAAGATACCTCGTGATGAGAATGCAACCGCCGATGATTTAGCCGCTCTTGCGACTAATTCTGATCCCGATCTTCGGCGAACTATCCCAATCGCGGCAATTGAACGACCAAGTGTCGAGCCTGCTCCGAACTGCAACATCATTACACGACGACGTAATTACGAAGTCCAACCCAATCTCGCTCCACCCCTCACCCGGAAGACGAAACCCAGAGAAGTCGTCACCGATCTCGACAACAACATGGACGAACAACCTGATAATAATTCCGATCTCGAAGACGAGTCCGAGGGTCAACACGTTCCAATCGATATCGAAGCCGAAGGTGAAGATGAGCCTGAAGATTGGACCCTAGAAATTGTGGGCTACATTGGAGATGGAACAGTCCCCGCAGATAAATGGGCAGCTCGGCGCCTCAAGGCGTGTGCAGCTCGGTACGTGGTCATTAAGGGCACTCTCCTCAGATGGGACGCATCCGGTGTACTCTTGACTTGTGTTCACGGCAACGACATCATGGAAGTAATGCAGAAAGTTCATGAAGGAGAAGGAGGAAATCACTCTGGAGCTCGGTCTTTGGCATTCAAGATCAAAAAAGCTGGCTATTATTGGCCCACTATGCTTTCTGAGTGCGAAAAGTATACAGCACGCTGCGAGAAGTGCCAACGTCATGGCCCGATGATCAACCTTCCTACCGAGCTTTTGATGACCTCGACCGCACCATATCCTTTCATGCGCTGGGCAATGGATATCATCGGTCCTTTTCGCCGCTCTACGACTCAGAAGCAATACGTTCTGGTCGTCACGGATTTCACCAAATGGGTCGAAGCCGAGGCATACCCCGAGATTCATGGAATCGATGTCAAGAAGTTCGTCTGGAAATTTATCATCTGCCGACACGGAGTCCCGTACGAGATCGTTACGGACAACGGAACCGAGTTCACTTCGATAATTTTCACAGATTTTTGCACCAAGTGGAAAACCAGACTAAGTTTCTCTACCCCACGATACCCACAAGGAAACGGGCAGGCCGAAGCCATGAACAAAACCATTATCGATGGTCTGAAGAAGCGACTCGATACCATTAAGGGAACTTGGGCGGACGAACTCGATGGTGTCTTGTGGTCTCACCGAACTACACCACGACGTTCAACCGGTCAGTCACCATTCTTCCTTGCATATGGTACAGAAGCTATGTGTCCAGCGGAACTCAACATCCCAAATATTCGTCGAACCATGCTCACCCACCAACCCGACGCGAATAACGATATGCTGCTCGACACAATCGACTTAGTCGAAGAGCATCGCGAATGAGCATTACTCCGGATACAAAACTACCAACAACTGGCAGCTCGCTACTACAACAAGAAGGTTAAAGGCCGTCACTTTGAAGATGGCGACCTCGTACTTCGTAAAGTCTATCAAAACACAGAAGATTGCGCAGGTAAACTAGGCGCAAACTGGGAAGGACCATACCAAGTAATGAAGGTTGTTAAGCCCGGCGTTTATCAACTCATGAAGTTAGACGGCACTCCGATCCCACGATCTTGGAACTCAATGCATCTCAAACGATACTACTACTAGTTCGTTACGAGTTTACCAAAAAAAAAAAAAAAAAAAAAAAGCCTCCGAACTACTTAGTCGGAGCAAAAAACACTTTTGTACTTAGAACTACGAATAGCTTGATCCCTTTAAAGGATACGTAGGCAGTTCGTTACCAAGTCCAACTATAACATCAATAAAATTTTATTAAGACAAAAACGTCTAAGTTCTAGTTCGGAAATCACAAGATACCGAACTCCTTGTTCTTACATCGACTTCCTGGCCAGTTGTTCGATAGCATTCCACATGAATGCAAACTAAAAAAGCCGAGATCCGTCTCGCGAGCACCCACATGGTGCCGTGGTAAAACCACATATCCAAAGCCGTGGCCAGTCCCGCAGTTAAATTTCTAAGTTACCAAGAACAATAAGCCGAGCACATCTCGCATACTTAGGTTCGACTTAGAAAAACCTTGAACTCGTTCGTGCGCTTACAAGAGTTCGAACTAATTCACTCTTCCAGTACGACACGATTCACTTGGGTTCGCCAGGCCGAGCTCAAATGCTCGCACAATAAGCCGAACTCCTCAGATTCGCACCGTAAGCCGAGTTCTCAACACTCGCAAAACGTAAGCCGAATTATCGCAATTCGCTACCGAAAGATAAGATTATGTTCAAATATCACCTACTAGTTGCTGATCTACTACTTAGGTGTTATCACAAATCGCTACCGATCAAATAAAGTCGAGTTCAGATTGAATATCGATCTACTACTTGAGAAAAATTTAAGGAAAAATTAAATACCATCAAAAAGAACGAAAAAGACATCTTATAAAATCATGCAAAAAAAAATAATAAGTTCAAGAACCCACCGAGGGTTAGGAAATAAAGCATTACATATAAAGTAACCCATGAAAGGGCAAGTGAGTTCGAGAAAAAGAAGAAACAGAAAAAGCATAAGCGGTCTTTGAGGTTGCAGCTTGATCGGCGTTCAGCATGTCCTCGTTCGAACCGAACTGCTCGCCTACCACCGGGTCATGAGCACTCTGAGTCACAGTCACGGCCGGCGCGTCGTCTTCCTCCGGAGACATTCACTTGTCCTCTTCAGTAAGGACGCAAGCGTCGACCGAACGGAAATCGTCTAGAGCTTTAGCGTGCTTTGCCTCGATGTCAGCTACTATCTCAGGCGGGACCTCGTACAAGCCTTTCTTCTTGAGCTGCTTGATGAAGCCGAGAACTCCGGTGAGCTGGTTGACCACCAGGTACGGCTGACGAGCCCGATCAGCATCATCCAAGCTTCGGATGACCTTCTCCAAGCGCTCGCAGGCCTTTGCGTGAACGCTCTTAGCTCGACCCTTCCAGTGGGACACCAAGTCCCTCAGCCGCTCTCGGTCTTTCTCGAACTCCTGAACAAGCATGCTCTGAGCCTCGGTCAGCTCCTTTCTCACCGCTTTCAACTCCGCGCTCTCTTGCTTCAGCAGATCGACCGAGGAATGAAGAGTGTCATTGATTTGGAGCTCGGTAGCAAGGCGCTCTTCCGCTTTGGTAACCCTCTCCTCAAGCTCGGCAATCCTGACCTGCTCGTCATACAGTGCGACTTCATACGCCGCGACTAAGTTGTTGGTCTGACTGGCGAGCTGCATAATGTGAAACATGAGTTAGAGCTCATACTCGGAAAAATATTAAAATCAAGGAAAGAAGTAAGAAAATTACCACGGCAGTTGTATGTGCGATCTCCTTGTATATGTTGGGGAAATGGAGCTCAGCCACTGCCGGGAGACTCGGGACCTGAGAAGAGATCATATGGTAGAGTTCGGCGCAGGCATCGATGTTCTCCTCGAAAGGAGTCTCCTCATCGTAGTCGAAGCAGACCTTCGCCCTCTTCGCTGGCTCTGGCTCTGGAGAACCCTCGGCGCTGTCTCCAGCTTGTCTCTTTCGAGAATGAGAAGCCTCAGCTCGATCTTGAGAAAGAGCGAGGTCGGTGGCTCGAGCTCAGCGGGAGCGTCCTGCGCCCGAGAAGAGTCTTCAATCCTCTTAGTCTTCTTCGAGGACTTTTTCTTCTTCAGTTTTTTCTGACCAGCGTGGTCAGGTGAGTTCGCAGCGAGCAACGGTTCTTCAGGTTGTTCCCTAACCTCTTCGGTAGCATGAACAGGGTTCGGAGTCGCGTCGTTCGGCTCCTCTTCGTCGAACAGAGTTGGGATCTCGTCCAGCGAAAGCATCCTGGCAGTTCGAGGTCGTTTAGCCTGTGGTTTTGGTGCTTTGCGTCTTGGAGCAGTTCGGGGCTTGCTAGCTCGAGCTTTTGGCTTCCGCGGTTTTGGTTCTCGGACAGAAGCTGTAATGAAAATATGTGTAGGAAGAGTTCAGAATAAAATCAGAATAAAACAAATAAAACTGAACTCAATAGTCGAACCTGCTTTCTTAGCTCGGCGCTGAAGAATCTCTTCCCACACTTCAGGCCAACAACGTTTACCGGCTTCGCTGAAAGCTGCTTCGAATTCAGATGTGAGTCCGGAGTTAAGAATAATGCTCGGGAGATGACGACCTGTAAAGAGGAATAGAAAGAGAATTAGCAAGATACAAAGTCAAAAATCAACTAAGTATAAGATCATCTAAATCTACCGATGGGAATCTTCCACTCCGATTGAGTTGGGATGTCAGAGTTGCTGACGGTGAGATCGTTCATCTCGAGGTAGAAATACTGGGATTCCCAGTCATTGAATTTACTGGGCTTAGCCCCAGTAACAATGTTCTTTCTCGGCTTGGCATTCGCTGCGAAGAGCCATTCCTTAGAAGAGGTCTTCAAACAGCCGACTGGTTGGGATTTCGCCGAGCTCGTCGCATAAGGTAACGAACCCTACGTAGTTTGTTATTGAGGCTGGCATCACCTGCGTGAGAGAAGGAATCGGAAGGGAGAGCCCGCACTGAGTGAAATACGTCAGGTAGATGCAAAGGAAACCTTCAGGAACGTCCCATGGTCGATCTCCAGCTTCCGGTATTATGAAGATGACCTTGTCTGAAAGCCCGTTCTCCTCGAGTACGGCTCGAACGGCACCCGGAGAGAGAGAACAAGAGGGCACGTTATGAGGACGAACAACTTTTCGCCTCGGAAGTGGCGGCGAAGCATGGTTCACTGCTTCAAGATTATCCTCGGTGACTCCTGCTTCGGTAGCGTCTTCCTCAGGATTTTCTTCTTCAAGTTCCTCGATCTCTTCGATCTCGTGATCGATACCATCGACGTTCGGCCCAGTTCGAGCTCCCGTTTCGCGACTCTGTAGCCAGTTGTTCGGTAGCCTCAACTTGCGGTCGAGATCGGCTACTGCTCGCGCCGACCGATTTGGAGTTTTTACGGATCAGTTGCGGAGGATTACTCTCCTTGTTGGATGAGTTCGTTGAATGAGGGTTTGAAGAGGAAGAGCTCGGCTCCGAGGATTCGCAGCGATCTTCCGGAAGGATTTGATTAGAAGAAGAATTAATTGAAGAACTGGAAGACATTTTGAGCTCGGAAAAGTAGATTCGAAGGAGATCTAAGAAGGATGAAGAACAGTTTGAAGATCAACCAGAAAAGATTGAAGATTGATCGGAGAATTTGAAGATCGAACGGGAAATTTGAAGATTGATCGGAAAAATCGAAGGTCTGCGGCGGCGGAAGTTGAAGAAACGAGAGAGAACTACGAATAAAAAACTAGGGAGAGAAACAAAAATCTAGAGAGAAGGGAGAGCAGTGTACCTTATATATGCTTGAACGAGAGTAATGAATGTGAGGAGAAGTATTTCCCTTATAAACAGTGGGAATCGTGGTTCCTCGATTTTCGCGAAGATCCCGGAATTCACGCGCTTCATTGAAGACAGGGTGCAAAATGTCCGGGAATGTGAATCGATTGCAGTTACCGATCTCAGTTTGTGACTTACTTTGAATCAAATGAGTTCGACTAAAGCCACTTCCTTTCATCGAACTAAGGGGGGGGGCTAACTGTTGGAGGTGAAAACCGCACCCCGGTTTTTTCCAGTACAAACCGAGATCGGCATAACATAAGCCTGGTTCACGAAGGAATGTACCGGGAAGACTGGGCCGAGTAAAATCTTGGGCCGAACGCAGCCCATTAAGCCAAGGTCGGCGAGAAGCTTCTCGAAGGAACCGAGGAGTTCCCCGAGTTCGGTCGAGAATAGGAAAGTTGCCTAAAGGAAAAAGGAAATTGCTACGAGAAAAGGAAAAGGACCGAGAGAAAAGGAAAGTCCTCTCGGTCCCATATCGCTGAAGATGCTCTCGATGACCGACTCAGAGGATATATATAAAGGAAGATGAATCGACACCAGAGAACACAAGATATTCCAGAGAAGACTTAGAGACTGAGAACTCATTACGCTAGATTCTTAGTTTCATAAAGTCTTAAGTTCGTTATTCTTTACTTAATAACCGAACTCAGTTGTATTCTCTCGATTTGATCTAATAAAACCGAGTTTACCGATCTAAAATACTGTTCTGCCCCTTGTCGATATTCACATATCAACATTCAGCTATAACTTCAATAAAATCTCTAAATTCTTTGTTTCTAAATTCTTTGTGTGATACTCGGTATCAACAAAGATTTGTATTTTTTTTTTTTTTGACAACAATCAAGATTTGTATCTTATTAGTATGAAGTAGTGTTATTGTTTTGTTTGCTTGCAAAATCTACTGCCAAATATTATGGAATTCTTTGAGTATTATTAATGGTAATGATCAAGTCTATATATAGAACAAGAGATTAGGTTTAGAGACCTAGATGAATATACAAGATGTATTGTCACATATCTTATAAGAAATGTATCCAACTGATTAATAAAAATCGGGTAAACTAATTCCAGATCCACCAAGATCATTAAAATATTGTCCAAATGAACCAGATTGAGTGGTGTGTAATGTTATTTTTATATTATAGTGGTTGAATTTAGAATAATATTATAATTTATGAAAGTTTTAAGAGAAAAAAAATAAATGGATTCATTTGTAATTTTTATAAATAGAGTGCATTATTAGTAATTAACAATAAAATAAAAAGAAAGAATATACTCAAAATTTTCTTTTTAGAATTGAAAATGGAGAAATACAACTCCATTTTGCAGTTCCCCCATTTTGGAGATAAAAATGGGGGAATACATTGGAAATGCTCTTAGCGTAAATTCGGTGACTGAGAGCATCTCTAACAAAGAGCTCTTAAGGGGTTCTTAGCTCTTTTATAATTAACATTTAAAGATTAAATGGGTTTAAAGCTTAGAACTTCATCAATACTACAAATATATGAAATGCAATAAATTTTAGTTATAAAATGTTTATATTTTAAATATTATAATTTTTTAAAAAAAATATTTAATTATTTTTAGAAATCTCACTTAAGATTCTACTATTAAAAGCTAAAAGAATTAAAATCTTTTGATGAAGTTTGTATATACAAAAATTACAAAAATACTATTAAAAAAATGGTAAGAACTCTTAACCATTTGAGATGGTCTTAAGATCCAAAATAATAGTTTATAAGCATGTTCGTTTGCTTGACGCGGGCGGTTGCGGCTGCAGCCTGTGGTCAAATGATGTTCGTTTATTTGTCGCAGGAGGCTGCGGCTAAACACAGCGTCAAAATTTTTGAATGCTGATTTATTTCGCGATGAAACTATTGCGATTAGCCACAGAGACAAAAGTATGGCAGTCAAACAAACATCAACTTGGTTGCATCTGACCACAGCGTCTAGCCGCAGGCCGCAGCCGCAGCCGCAGCCGTCCACGTCAAGCAAACGAACAGAACTTACACCAAACCCCTATCTTGTTGTATAAAGTCTCAAAACCCATACAACTAAAAAGAGAAAGAGTGAAACATTTTTTTTTTTCGTTTTCTCAGTTCTATTAGCATTTGACATTCTTCTACTCACTCAAGTATACGATTTATTTGCTGTATATTCTTATTTTAAGTCATTTGAACAATATAAACGAATAACGGAACAACAAAAGTATCAAAATATGAATTTTTTAAGTTTAAGAATTTGATTCGATTAGAATTTAAGTATATGGCAGTGCATACAATTATTTTTTATCTTACATAAGCCTAATTTTGTCATAATAAATGAACCATTTGGTGTGGAAAGTTTTGTTACGAGGCCTTTTGGGGATGGCATACGGTTACTGACGGAGGGAAACCAAATAAATAAATGCAACTTAGAGTTATGGCTTGATACTACGTGTAGGACCCGTCAATTAACCTCAAATCTTAATGGCTTTTCAAATCTTGATACATACATTCTGGGAGGATTAGAAGAAGAAATAAACCTTTTAAGAAACAAAAAAAACACTACAAGAAAACATCTTATATTCTTACTAGAATTTTGACGAAATATTTGATAGGAAATTTTTATGACCAATTTTCTATGCAATTTTAACAAAAAATAAAAGTGATGGGAAATTGGTAGGAAATTTCCTACCAAATATTTTGTCAAAATTTCATAGGATATTTCCTACAAATAACCTACCACGCGGTCAAAATTTGAAAGGCAAGTGATAGGGCTAATGGCTAGTAAGTTTTTTTAGGAAATTTCCTACCAATTTTTGACGAAAAATTATGTGTAAGAATATCGTAGGAATTTGGTAGGAAAATTTCAACTGATTTGTCCCACATCAATGATCTGAGATAATTTACATGAGGAAGCTGCTCTATAAATAAGACCTTCATCTTCCTTTTAATTAATTTGTTTTTTTCTATATATAATATCTCTATATATAGTATCTCTATATATAGTAATAGTTGAATTAATAATTAATTCATTTTTTAGTTTAAATTTAATTTAATTTTTAATTTAAAAAAATAATTTTTTTTTTACAAAATCTGGCAAATGGTAGGAAAATGATAAGAATATTTGAAATTTGAAAGAATGAAACTGAAGGAAGATGGAAGTAATTTGGTAGGTACTTTCTTACGAATATTCTACCGCGGAAATTTTCCTACCAAAATTTTCGTAGGAAATTTCTTACGATTTTTCTACCTTTTAAAATTTCCGACGACATAAAACCTAAAAAATATTTGGTAGGAAATTGGTAGGAAAAACTGGTTTCCTACGATTTTCTGATAAAATATATGGTAGGAATATGTGATGTTTTCTTGTAGTAAAAATAATAATAGATGCAATTTTTTTCTACTTAAAATAAAATTTTACCTATGTTTATGAGTCAAATTTTTTTAAATATTTAACCTACATTAAGAAATCGTTAAGTTTAATAAATTTGTAAGAGATAAGGTTTAAATTTACAAAGATAAAGATATTAAAAAAAACACCAAAATGTTTAACGTTAAGGATTATTCTTTTTTCCCATAAAATACAATTAGAATTAAGACGTTAAATAGCGCATTCATGGATATTATTCATGTGCAAAATTACAAAAAACATCAAAATGTCAAATGAATTAAGGGTCCCATGAATTAATGACGAACCGATAAAGACTGAGTCAGAGTTTTGTAAGTATAATGGAAGACAAAAGTCAACGCCTGAAATCAAGTTGTTATAAGAAGGCCCATCAACGCGACTCAACCTAAATAACTACAAAATAGAAAGTATATTCTGTAATTTGGATATTAAAACATAAACGATATTATCACAAATCATTAAACAATACACATCAATAATGTGAAGTTTTCTCGCAATCGGATCGAATTGAAGATTGAATATCGTTTCTGCCAAACAACCAATATAAATCATTCATGGCCGTCCAAGTGACGTTTACGTTCCTCTGGTCAATTGATTATTTATTATCATGTAGTACGTAATCACCAATCACCATGTACATCTTTGATTTTTTTTTTTTAATGTTTGGGCAATTTAATACATCAAGAGAATATGCTATCCAAATTCTACCATTTTATTAGAAAAAATGATAAATGGTAAAATAGTACAAAGTTTGTTTGGTTATTGCATATGTTTTTCCAAAAAATATGGATTGTGCACTTAATTTTATCAACTACTTATTGTTTTCAATAATACGATGTTTTAAGACAAAGAAAACAGAACTTATTTACGATTTTTATCACAATGTTCTCCCCTTTTTCTTCCAATTTTTCTAAGACATTTTTCATATAATAAAAGGTTTCCAATCTCTAATTATGCTTAATTTGTTCATTATATTCGGATACGTTTATATGACCAAATGCTATTGGTCTTGTAACTTACTAAGTCAGCGAATCACTTCCTAGCATAAAAAGACTCGATCACTTATAATATCTGCTAACCAAAAGAAGAAAAAAATAAAAGACTCGATCTCTTCTTATGGAATGAAAAAAAAAAAAAAAGATTAATAGTTTCTCTGTAGACCCAGTATGTAGATGTCTGACTTCTTTTGATTTTACAAGGATATTGACTTCTTTACCTTTATAAGGATATTGATCTTTATGCAAATGATCGTTTACGCATGTCCGTCCCATGATCTTTGAAATTTCAAATATTCAACATAAATCTAAAGAAAACGAATGTTTCAAAATTTCAAAAACTCAGTGTCCACATATAAAATATATAAAAAAAATAATAAAGCTTTAACACAAAAAAATATGTAAAATAATAAACAAAATCAACGTAAAGGAGACCGGTTCCACCGGTAACCTAACTATCTTTTCTTAAATCTCTCATCTTTCTCGCATCTCTCTCTTGATACATTCCACATTTATTTCAGATACTAGAGATTAACTCGCCTGAAGCCGAGTTTCTTGACTTTGACCCATTAAAACCAAAAAGAAAAAAAGAAAAAAAAAACTACAACGAAGGGTTTTCATACTTTTGGTTTTCGTTTTCCGGCGAAAAATATGGACCAAGCGACGCCGGAACATAACACCTCCTCCTCACACAAGCGTTTAAGCGTGAGCTATCTCGTATCTCTAATGGTTCTCTGCGCCAGGCATGCAAATCGGCTCTCGAAGAAGCTTAAGCTAAAGACCAAGAAGCGAACTCACATCAAAGATTCCGGCGACGGAGAAAGATTCCGATGGAACCTGACGAGCTCGCCGATGAGATCTCCTCGGGCTAAAGAGTTGTTCACGGCTTTGAGCAACAAGGCGATGACGATGGTCGGCCGGAAAAATACCGGATACGGCGGAGGTTTTAAGCCGGAGAAGAAGAAAGCGGCGGCGATGGAGGAAGAGGCGGAGGAGCATGGCCTTTGGCAGAGAGAGATATTGATGGGCGGCAAATGTGAGCCGTTGGATTTCTCAGGTGCGATTTATTACGACTGCAACGGACGGCAGTTAAAAGAGGTGCCTCCGAGGTCTCCACGTGGCACTCCGTTACCCATTTACCCGACCCGTTCTTAAGTCTGGTCGCCGTTAAACCTGATGGGGACGATGGACTTTTACTAACAGCTTCATCGAGTTATGTATGTATTATAAGTATGTGATTGTGTATCTCTTTTATTATAAGTTTTTTTTGTTACAAACATTTTACATTTGGATAGGCCATTGAAATTTCAGGATGCAAAGTTTAAAGACTCTAAAACTATCATGCAATTAATACTTTAGTTATCATATAGCTTTTGTAATCTTATTATAATTTTTTCCTTTATAGGTATAAAAGTCGAATTGATTTCGATTAATTTCAGGTTGGCTTTTTTTTTACAATTACTCAAGCTTATATATATTTTGAAACGAGTTAATGATAAAAAAGAATTATAGTAAATCAGAAAATTCGAATATATATCCTATTAAGTGATACTTTTAAAGTTTAAATTTCTTGTAAGAGAATAATACTGAAAATGATTCAATATTGCTAAGATTATACTTAGACCATGTTTTAGCCAACTCTCACAGATAGCATAGAGCCAATAGTAACTGAATAACAGCCTTTTGAAATTTCAAGTTTATTTATTTTCAAACAAGAGTATATTGACTCGATCCGATTGATAATTTCATTTGACTTAGTTTGATTCGGTTAGTTGTTGAGAAAAATCCAAAACATAAATCAGGTACTTTATTATTATAATACGTATCATCGATTCGACTCACTGAATGTTTGCAAATGTTATAGACTTATAGTTTATCATTGACTAAGAACAAGTCAGCGGTAAAAAAGGTTATAAAGCCACGTCCAAAACGGAAAATAAAATTTCATTTTCACTCTTTTCTTCACTAAAAAACTTCATACCTACATAATATTGTGTTTTTAAAAATCGAAATATACTACTTACCAGATCTTATTATAACTGCCAAGATTATGCTAGGGTAAGGCCAAAACAATTAGATATCCTCAAGATTATTAATTAGATTTGCACAAAATAATGCCTCAAAACAAAAACTAAAGTACCTGATTTTCTCATAAGTAACATTTCAATGAAATGATTTCATACAAACACAAACTAAATTTCAAAACATGAATTCTCATTATACATCATTGATCATACCAAAAGAGACAGAGAAAAACAACAACAGAATTCTTTTCTAAAAGAGTAATTTTCTACATAACACTAACCAAACCGTACCGGTGAAGCTTTTCATGCACCAGGTGCTGCATCTTTCAGCTTACCATGAAAGTACCCACCGGCATAATCTTTGACATGAGCCGCCGTGTCATAGATTCGACTCCGAGCATAGTCCACCTGATCCGACCCAATCGGATGCATGCCTTTGTAATACCGATACATCCACGACACAACAGCCGCGGTACCGAATACAAATCCGGCTAGGGACAAGAATCCGGTAACAAGAAGAAACAAAGGGATCCAGATAGGACTTGAGATGATGATGATTGGAAGGAAAGCGATGAACCCGAGGACGGAAGCTGTGACCGTGATTCCGGTGAGTAAGAGGAGGATTCCACCGGAGATGAAGAATGCGAGGAAGCCAAAGAGCTGGCCGGAGTAACTAGGAGCGTGTGGTTGTAGCTGACGGAGGAGAGATGCGATTGGATGGTTGATATTGTTGCTGCGTGGGACGGTGGTTGAGCCGTAGATGGGTCTTTGTTGGATGTGGCTAGGGTTTGCTCGGTCAGCCATTATCGGAGAGGAGAGAGAGATGCATGAGGAGCGAGAGAGAGAGAGAAGAGAGGGTGAAACAAATGGAGACAGGTTCCGGAAGTAAAGGCGCATGCATGCAAACACGTGGAGTTTCGGTCTTGTTTTTACCGACTTGTTTTGTTCTGTGTCTACCATCCGTAGAAAAACCAATAATTTTTCTTTTTCAATTGATTAAGTAAATCTGATTTTAATAGGAGTATATGATACAAATATGAGTAAATCTTATTTTTTGGTGCTGAAAATGATAATGTACATTTAAAATTTTACAAAACTTAATATAAGTAAAATAGTAAATAACTATTCGATATCCATGAATTACGCTGCAAACCATGCATGATACTTTTATTTTTGAGTATGAAGCATGCATGATACTTGTTCATTTTTATATAATAAAAATCAGTAATGCTTATTTACTTTGATTTTATTTTTATAAAATGTTTTCATTTAAAATGCATAAGTAAAAGATTACAAAGTCATATAGTTTATTGAGAAAGTTGTGTAAGATATCTTGTTCAAAAAAAAGAAAGTTGTGTAAGATATAAAAAACTTAACAATAAAGTAGAATTTGTTATATAAGAAGTTAATGATTTTTTTTATGTATTATTATTATAATATAACCGATTTACTTTTGTATAAATACTAGAGTTTACTACCTTTGAACTTAAAAATATAGAGTAGAGCAATGTTTTGCTTTTGTCTATCTCCTCCACTTATCTTCTCTTTTCTCTTTTATTCTCTATATAATATATAGAGATATATATACATATAAATATATGTTTTTATTCATAACAAGTTATCAGCATGATTGATTCTTAATTCGTCTATATTTAAAAGTAATATTTAATTTATGTTTAGTCAATCTAAACACTAAAATTTATGTATTTCCAAAAAGATAGATCGTACTTTTTCTATTTATGAATTATTTTGGGATGATATGCTCTATCTTTTCCGAACAAATAATTTAAATTTATGTTCATATTATTTTCAAGTTTATATATTATTTTAGGATGATAGGCTATGCCTCATTCGAAGCAATCATTATAGTAGGCACTGCCTCCACGATCATGATCATATGATAAACTATGTCTTCTCAGATTATATATATAGAGTACAAGATTAAACCTCCTGCATGACTATAAAATTATAGAGTGGAAGGTTAAGCATCCTCCTTGTTTATATTTATAGAATAGAAGGTTATGCCCTTCTCCTTGATTAATTTTTTTTTATAGAGTGGTAGGTTGTGCCTCCTCTTTTATTTAATTTATGTTTTTTTATATTAAAATTTATATTTGTGGAGTGGAAGATTCAATCTCCTCCTTGCTAATATTATGGAGTAGACGGGTACACCTCCTCTTTGATTGTATATTTATGGAATAGAAAGTTAAACCAGCCACATGATCATAAAATTATGGAATTGATGGTTTAATCCTCCTTCTTAATCAAATTTTATGGAATGGAAGGTTAAGCATCCTCCATGATCACAAAATGATGGAATGGAAGGTAAACTTCCTCCTTGTTCATATTTTCTAGAGTGGAAGGTTAAGCCTCCTCTGTGACCACAAAACTTGGAGTAGAAGGTTAACCTCTTCCGTGTTCATAGTTTATGGAGTGGAAGGTCAAGCCTCCTCCTTATTCATATCTATAGTGTGATAGGTTAATCTTTCTCCGTGTTCATGTTTATGGAGTGGAAGGTTAAGCCTCATCCTCGTCTTCATATTTATGGAGTGAAAGGTTATGTCTCCTCCTCATTTTTATGGTAGGCTCAGCTTCTTTCAAAAACCTATGGAAACTATATCAGATATGTTATTATTGTGAATCATTATGTTTAACTATCTGATATATTTTATCAATTATAATATGGGTTAAAGACATCAAAACATGTATTCAAAAATCAAAACTTCTGTAAGAGCTAAAAGCTTCAAAAGAGCTAAAAACTCCATAAAAGCTATAAGTTTTGGAAGAGCTAAAAGCCCCGTAAGAGTTAAAAGCCTCAGAAGAACCAAAAGCTTCGTAAGAGCTAAAAGCTCCGGAAGAGCTAAAAGCCCCGTAAGAGCTAGAATCTTTGGAAGAACTAAAATCCCTGTAAGAACTAGAAGCTCCGGAAGAGCTAAAAGCTCCGAAAGAAATAGAAGCTCCAGAAGAGAAAAATGCTCCACAAGAGCACACGATGGTGACATGCATATATGTGATAATAAAAGAAAGATGGTAAGGGTATATACCATAGTAAACCTGAAGTTTACTAATTGAATAAACCGGTTAAGCCATCCTGGTAGTTCCAATGATATAAGATCATTGAGAATACATGTTGAAATACCGGAAATTTTTTCAACTATTGCATGTCATAAAGAAAAAAAATGAAGCCATCGTGAAAAGTATCCATGGATGGATCACCATTTCTTTTGGTTTAAAGCTCATTGAATATGTAGTTGATCCTATAGTGAGATTCAATTCAAGATGGATAGACCTTGAAAGTGCCATCATCTCGAGGAGGAGAATTAAAGAATCCCACATCAAGTGTAAGCTGAACATCCAGAAGATTATGTTCGCACTCAAAATGAGCTTAAAATAAAGCAAATTTAAGATATTGCAAAACCAATTATGGTGATTTGCATGTTGTTGCAAAGAACATGCAGTTTTGCATGCAGTAAACAGCTGTTGGATGAAATTCATGAAATGAATTATTATGGATCCTTGTATGAACCTGAAGTTTATATTGAGTGAAAAGGAAAATCTCATATCCCAGCTGAGCTTCACTTAAAATAGATGTCCCTTAAGGACAGTATATTTGAGTCTATGACACGTAAGAAACGTAATAGACTATTTTGGTTCCAGATCTTCAAAAAGAAAGGAGAACAAGAGGATTAATCTCTTGAAGAGATTGAATGATATGGTTATTTATAAAATCAGGTACCTGAATAAAATCGATGATAAGAGATCTCGATTTACCATGTCATCATGAAAAAAAAATGGAACCAAAAATTAACCTCTAGAGGAATTAATCCCTGGAACACTACTCGATCGAATTAAAGAATGATGATCATCAAAACTCCCGAAAAGTTTTTGAGTAGTATAATAAAAGGGATTATTCCAGAGGTGATATCTTGAACCGGTAACAAGAAATATATTTACGACACGTTTTATCGATTTCTACTTTGATGAAAATGAATTCTCTGCAATGAAGGAGAGGATCTAGAGAATCACCAAAAGATAGCACAAAACTGTATATAAACTTTGGCTTATCTCGATCCTCCTACCAATAAACGTGAGGTGGAGTTCATAAATTGTACATTTGCAAAGTTTGGCAAACCAGTTACTTGATGCGTTCAAAGATATAAGCTGGGTGATGAAATCATATATATCCCTTCTGCTAATGCTCCATCAAAAAAATATTCCAGAACAAATTATTGATGAGAATCTAGCAAATGAACCATGGGTTGAATTAAAATGCGGGAGGCCGATGGGCTTGTAAGACAAAATTATCCTCCTAAATAAAAAGGTTCTAGAAGAACCATATAGAGAAAATGTATTGAAGACATTTTTAAAAGGTTCCAGAAGAACCATATAGAAAAAGTGTCTTGAAGACATTTATGAAAATGTTCTAAAAGAACCATACAAAGATATATATCCGGAAGACATAAATGAAAGGGTTCTATAAGAACTATATATAGAGACTCGTCTAGAATACGAGTGTAGCTGCACTTTTTTTTCCTTATCATGGTTTTTGTCCCAATGTGTTTCCATGAAAAGATTTTAACGAGGCAGCAAGAAACAAACAAAATATAGATCTCCAAAGATGTATACTTCCGGAAGAAGAAGTATGATGATATGCGTAGATACACTCTTTTTCTCTTAGTGGGTTTTCTATGCTAAAATTTTTAATGAGGCATAAAAAAATACGCAAATGATAGACATCTAAGAGTTCAAATGAAAAGTATTATAATTCTAATGATGTAGAAATCCAAACTCATCTATCAAAAAGAGAAACTCTATCATCTAAACATTTAAAGAAAAATAAGATTATATAACTTTTTCAAAGGAAGCACTGCTGCTTTTTTTTTCTTTGTTATGGTTTTTGTCCTAAAAGAATTTTTCCATAACTAACTTTTAACCAGGCAGTACACGACATATCGACGGTGATGAATAATCAAATTAAAAGGAGTGTTATAAAACAAATTAATGATTATCCATATATATTATTATAATATATGTCACCTACCTCTTATAATTTAACCGATTTACTCTTGTATAAATACGAGAGTTTGCTTTGAACAAAAAGAATATAGAGTAGAGCAATGTTTTGCTTGTGTGTATCTCTTCCACTCATCCTCTCTTTTCTCTCTTACGCTCTATATAATATATATGGAGATATATACACACATAAGTATCTGCTTTTATTCATAACAGAATTTAAGAAAAGATAGGAAAAATCAAGAGAGTTAATCCACTGCGGCTCTGGCCACCATATTCCACATCCCCTATAGCCTCGCCTATCATTGTCCTTGACATCTTTTGAATTTTTGGCTTAGGCTTTATTGGTCTTCTTCTTTGGGTCTTTAAAGATGTGTCACCTATCTTAATACTTATATAAACTCCTGAATCTAACGCAGCAAATTGATTGCTACGAAAGACATTCCTTTGCACAGCGTCAATAGATGAATCTGATATAGGAGTTAAGAAAGATACCAAATCTGAAGAGGATGAATTGATAATGAAGCTTCTGTGGTGATGGGAGTAGTGCTGCTCGATACATTAGTGATTGATGTTGTCTCAGTTGGGACAGTCTTAATTTGTCAAGACTACTGTTGGTGGAGTAATATTGGGGTTCACTAACGCAGTAGAAGGATAAATACCATTTTTGGTGACATTTGGTGTTGATAGTTCAGCCTCATTACAAGATGAGACTAAAGTGATTGGGGCTGCAATTGATACAACATCAGTGGTTGAAGCCTTAACGGCTAGTATAGAAGTTGAATCCATAGTAGGAGCAAGTACTGAAGGAGACCCATGTGTTCATTGAACAGTAGCATTTTGTTTTTTATTTTTCCGACCAAAAAGTATCGCATTAACCTAATTAACTACCTAAATACAACATCCTCTAACCCGTTGAAACATGCTCGGATAATAATGCTCTGTTTATTCCTCTTATTTCTTTTGTGTAAGATGTACGAACTTTGTTTATTATTCCCATCTTGCAAGCATATATATTTTGTCAAAATTTTACATTAAATTGAGGTTCTGTAACCATTAATATGTAGTGATATGATATGATATCCATTCAAGTTAAATTTAATTTTCAATCTGAAGGAAATTGCTAACAGTCTAGATTTCGCCAAGCTTTAAAACCTCACCTGAAGCTTACGGGTGACGAAAGGACAAATCTATAGCTATCAAATCATATTCAAAACAAGTATCATGCCTATTTGCACCAACAAAAAACAAAATTCATGCCAACGGGAAAGAAAAACAATAGTCACAAAACATAGAGAAATGAATTGTCCCACAAATTGGTGAAATCCATATATATAATTATGAAAAAATTCCGATTTTTGTGATTTAGTCGAACGATATTCTTTGGTAACATCAGTTGAGAAAATTGAATAAAAAATAAAGAAGAAGTTTAAAGCGAATAAACAACAAAACAATTATATATATATATATATATATCCACAAATCAAACTAGAATATACATAAACTTACACATTTTCAGAAACTAGTATACAGTCAGAAGAATTAAACGATTTCAGCTCGTATGGCAATGGCTGAATCCCCTGCAAATCAGGTTCTGGTGTGAACCACACTGGACGTTTTGACTCGTCCATTTTCCTAAATGTGATTGATATTCTGGAAAAATAAAAAAACAAAACCAAATAAATAAAAACAATATTTATTATCATGTAAAAGAAACGAATCAAGATTACCTTTTCGTCGGAACTTCAGGTACACAATGCCTAGCTACATTAGCTCCATTCCCGTTCAACACAAGCACCGATCTAAAAGAAGTTATAATGATTTTGTTTTACAATGTTCCAAGTAATTAAATGACAAATAAAATTTGCAAGCAAAGATAAGAATTTACCCGACCGGAAGCGGTAAGGAGTATGAACCACCCGAATATTCACCAGTTTCCTCAACTTTGAGGTTTGATCCGAAGAGGATATTGCATTCACTAAGGAAAGAAACTGTACAGAACGGGCGAAGGAAGTCGTGATTATCGACATGAGGAGGGATGCAATCACCTTCATCATAAATGTTGACTACGCAACAATCAGGCACACAAGTTGGAGGCAGAACATGCCATTTAACCATCCTTCTAATGATCACCTTGAATAGACAAGGTAATGGATCCACAGCTTCATGTCTAAGTATCCCTGCCGGGTTTCCAGCTTTGCTCTGTCAACATAAGAAGGAAAGCCAAAACCTCTTCACTCTTTGGAACTCACAAGAACTTGTAAATGAAGAAAAAGACCCATCAAGAAACGGTTTTTACTTACTGTTCGGTAGTTGAAACAAGCACCGAATTGAATAGCTGAACGTCCTTTGCCTCGAGCAGTAAATGCACGCTCTACAAAGTGATAAAGTTTGTAAAGTTTTTTGGAGATTAAGAAAAAGAAAATAAGGATAGCTTTAGCTATACCTACTTACTTAGTTCTCCTTTTCTTCCCTTTTCTTGTAGTTCACACACTTTATCAACAATCCTTTTCTGTTCTGCTGCATTGAAAACATCGCTGTGCAGCTCGAGTCCTTCGAGTATGTTGACCATCTCCCCATTAACTCTCTCCAAGCAAACAAAATCTCTCTTTCTCTTCACATTCATTGCGCGGATATGCTCTCTCTGTTCCCTAGACAGTTTATGCTTCTCGAAAGCATTGCTATCTGATTCTTTCTGATCTTCTTCCTCATTGAGCTCATCCTCCTCCAATACTATATCATCATTAGCATCTTGTGAAACTTCTGTTAAGGATCCAAATATAATATTAGCATCATAAACTGTGTCGTTTCCTTCATTATCAATTCATATTAATATATTCTTACTGGTTTCTTCTGATTCATTATCAATCAATATCATCCTCTGTATAAACTCGGTTAGTGCTACGATTTGTCATAAGCAATCAAACGGTGGATAATTTAAATCCGAATACAAAAAGAATGAAAGAAATCAGATAATTTAATTCAACAAAATTGTGAGTGAGCAGTAAATTTTTAACAATAGTTCCCCTTTAATTGTTCAAGTCATCAAACCTAAGGTCTCAATTAGATTTGCCAGAGCATGAGTCTGAAACGACAAAGAGAAATTTCAAAGAAAACTTCTCTCTTTTTTTTGTTTTTTAGAATTCCAAGTTACCAAAAAGATTTACCTCCAAAATAATGGTTACATTCGTTACCTTGGACTAGATCGGAGAGAACGTAGACTTCTGAAGCGAACTCCGATTGCCGGAGAAAAGAGTCTTTGTCCATCGATTCTGGTTGATCAGAATCTCGCAATGAAATGTCAAATACGAATGTAACCATGATTTTGTCAAGTTTCTTATAGTCAACGTATTGGAATATTGACTTTTATTAGTTCTTCAGAATCATCTTACTTGTCTTACAAGAAAGTTGAAGTTTTCTTCTATTGTTGTATTTGAATAAACTATCGTACTGTATACCTTTGGACCATTGTGTTCTGACTTCTGACCAAGTGCCTCATCCGAAACCGGGTTTAGCAAAAACTTCAATTGATTATGATACTCTGTTTCATAGTTATCCCTTTGGGCTTTGGGTGATACTGTATTCATGAAGAGAAGATCATTAAGAAGACTACCTCCTTCAAAATTCTCACAATACAAACTATCTACAGAGGAACAAATTTGGGGAAATATCTCCAACTTTGAAACCTAGAATTTGTGGGAAATTCCTTTCTCTAATCCATTTTAACACGGCGTTTTAACATGTGTGTCATATTAAAGATTCTCTTACGGCACACAAGGAATTACTAATAGTTTAAAAACGTCAACGACGACATCAATTTCTTTACATGATCTACCATTTCTAATAGGCTAAAACGACAGTGTCATCAACTTCTGTCAAAATAATAGACAGTATTACCGTCTAGGGTTAGATTGATGAGTTTTAATCAGACAACATATTATGCAGTTCTTTTTAGACCGTAGTTAATCTTGCTTTTTTCATATTTGTAAGTTTTGCAATTTTCCCTTAATTTATTCATATATTAAACGCTCAGCATTTATAAAATTATTCAGTAAATGAAAAAAAAGTATTTCTATATTGATTTAAGAGTAATATGGATATATAACTCCATTTTCAGACTTAATATGTACAAATAGCACCTTCCACAAGTGTTAGTAGTAACTAATATTATTCCGCAACAAATTCTTTTCAAACCCTTTATTTTTTAATAATAGCTTTTCATTTTGTTTACAACACCATCATTCACACGCATATGAATCATAAGAAGCTTCCTCATTAAAGCCCAACGGCTAGAAAACTCATCAATAGCGAGGAGATTGTCATCTTTGATTTATCTGCTTTCTTTCTTTATGTTTATGACTGTTTGGCAATGTTTTTAAACCCGACCCGGACAACAACCCAGAGTGTTCTTCGGGTTGCCGGGTTACTGGATTAACCTGGATCAATCCGGGTCAACCGCGGATCAACTAAGTATATATATTTGTTATGTTTTTTAATAAATTTTATCACTTTTGTTATATTTTTTCTGTTGTGTAAAAAAATACAAATTTTGCTAAAAAGTTTTGTCACTAAATCGCATTAATTATCATATATCTTTTTCAGTATAACTTTTTTTCAATAAAATTTAAATAAAATATACACTAAATATAGTGATCATATTAACTATATTTTTAAACATTTATAATTATATATTTTATTATATATTCTTTTTCCTTCTATTTATTTTCTTTTTTAAACAGTTAATTTTCTACTAAAAAGTTTGATATTATAAAACTTACAATTGTATAATGGTGAGAAAGTAACAACCCATTCGATAAAATATAGAAAAACAAACCATTATTACTACTAAAAACATTAAAATAAAAGTATATTAATTATCTCATAAAATCCAAAAATAATGTAGAAAGTTCTAGCAATATTTTTTGATTTTGCTACCGCCTCGTTTTCTTCATCTTCTGTTACTCTAAGTGCTCTGCATCTTGTTCGAATTTTGTTTTTCAAAACTATATTTTTTTTAAATATCATATATATACATAAATAAAGTTATAAAACTATTATTTTTTTCCAAACCAGAAACCCATCCGGGTCGGATTTTTGTCGGTTCACCGGGTTTAAACGAGTTTTTCTAGATTTAATCGGTTTAATAGCATTCCGGGTTTTCAACCAAAACCAAATCGGAAATCTTGCCGGGTCACGGTTTAACTGGTCGAACCGTCCGGTCCGGTCCGGGTCTGAAAACATTGCTGTTTGGTCTAGTCTTTGTTGAGCTCTATATAAGCTCTTTCCCTTCATCATTTGTACGCACACAACTTTTAAGAAATAAGAAATCTCAGTAGTTTTTGCTTCAAACACTTTTGTCTTGAATCAAAGCCTGTTCTAACGAGTTTATAAGTTCTTTGTGGATTCAGATTACTTATAATTCGTGTTGAGACTCTAATCCCTCGCGAGGAATAGCCCTTGGGATTAAAGCCTCTTGTGTTTGTGGATTCAAACACGTCCTTGTTTTTGTGGATTCAACAGCTACATCATCTCGGCTTTTAGACTCTTGAGAACCTGGTGTTAGTGAGAGTTGTGTGACTCAATTTTTAGAGGACCTCCAATGGTATCTCTTAAAGAAAAGTTCATAGAATTATTGTATTAAAAATAAAAGCAAAAAGGCAAATATTTTTTCAATAGGTTCTTCACCAAGGATTTTTAGAAACTCTCGTGAGGTTCATCAGTGACGTGTCACATTTCTATTGGTTGGTCTTTGTTTTCTTCCATCTTCTCTCTTTCTCTCTCTTCTCTTCCTCTCTTCTTCTCTTCTTCGACCTTCTCTCTTCTCAAAATTTTATTAATAAAAAATTGAGGATGAATTCCATGAAGGGTTCACCATTGAAGATGTTCTTACATCACTATGGATCCAATATTTTGAACATTGTATACAATGCCGTCTTTTAAAATGTAAAGAAACAATAATTTATTTTTTTTGTTTAAACCTTTATTAATTAAATAGTTTGTTTTAATGATATTTTGGTTTATTTCTGCTTCAGAATATATATTTTTTTCTCTTTTTCCATAAATAGTTGTCATGATTGTCGAGAAACGATACTTTTATTAAACATAAAGGAAATAGAATACAAAATCATAATGGTGTTTGAAAAATACACACTAAAACAAACTGCAACTTAGAGATCAGTTGTATTGGAATGTTGTACATTAGCAATTTTGATGCACATAACGATAATAATCATGGTTGATAAAATGATGAATTTTTTCAAAAGTATCATTATCCAACTATCAAAATTTATGTATTTATTAACAGATCACAATACCATTATCTACCTTTCAAAGCTTTTCATCATTATAAAAATATTAAATAAATAATTTATGATAGTTAGTATTGTTAAAATATATTCTTAAAAAATAGATATAATCAATGATCGTCTCTACAAATTTTGTAATCAGCTTTGTATACATTGTAAATTTGTGCTTGGCTCGTAAATCAGCTTTTAAAATAAAATATTTTGTAATCAGTATTCATACGTTAAACTGTAAACAGAACATAAAGAATCCAAACAAAATACTTTATTTTTATTTTAATTTATGTTGAATAAACAAGTAATATTACATAATTATTTGTGTTATTTTCTAAATTTTAAATTTGATGTGCCATAGTTGGAATGATTTTTGTGCTGGGTATTTTTCTTCGAAAAATCGATTAACCAATCCATAAAATAAAAACTAATTATTGATTTTACTGTTGACGTGTTAACTATTTCTCTTGGCACGACATAAGAATAATATATAGATTTATTTCGGGACTTGAAACGAAGGTTTATAACCATCGTCCACCGTTCAGATCACTTAGATGGGCCAAGGTTGTGCTTCAACTAGGGAAAAAACGCTCCCAGGCACGTTAACCAAAAATTACCAAATATGTTTCAAATCTACTTTTTTCCTCCCTCAAACCTAATTCTTTACCAGAAATAACTAACTTCCTCCTGCCTCCCTCTCCCCAAACCGGAAACCTCCATGTCCCCTGCTCCTTTCTCAGCCGGAATCCCTGGCTTCTCGTTGTAATGTGTCTCCTTCCTACAGCTACAAGACTCTCCACTCCAATGGAAGTGTTTGCCGTGCTACTCTGATGTTTGAAGACCCAAGCAACCAATATCGAAGACCTCTCCTTTTATGGAAGATAATATGTTAGAAGAGTGAAGATCATCGAGATTTCTAGCTTTTGCTAAGACAGTCACAAACCAAGAAGCCCGCTCTAAAGACCCTAAAACAAGAAGATTTCTTCTACCTGGCTACTGAGTCTCACCGGTCAAGAACTCTTCTCTGATTCCTCTCCTTACGGAAGACTTTCAAGCTCCCTCCAAAGCAAGACCCACCCAGCTCCTTTTGTCCCTTGTACACCAGTGATACCCTGCAGAAATGGATAAATCTAAAGAAGGTTCGAAGATCTCTCACCTGGAAGAAGAAGATGACGAAATCATCGAGCTGCCCCATGTCGATAACTCCCATCTGATAGCCAGATTCAACCGAAGCTTAGTCGGAAGGATGTTTAACCGAGACATCAGGAGCACTGAGGCTCTCATTACTTTCATGCCAAAGGCCAACATATGGGATGTTGAAGGAAGAGTCCATGGTATTGATTTGGGAAACTCCAGGTTTCAGTTCGATTTTGACTCTGAAACTGACCTCCAAATAGTTTTAAACAAGCGGCCCTGCCACTTTAACCGGTGGTCTTTCTCCCTTGAGCGTTGGATCCCTCATGTTGGAGAGTCTTTCCCGAGCAATATGGTGTTTTGGACTAGGATCTCTGGGATTCCAACCCACTTCTGGCTTGAAGATAACTTCCGCGCCATAGGGAAAACGCTGGGAAAAGTGAAATCTGTGGACGCAAGAGCAGCCAAAGTTCAAGTGTCAATTAACGCCGATGCACCTCTAAAGTTCACGGCACGAGCTAGGCTTCAATCCGGTGAAGTTGTCAGGGTTAAAATAAAGTATGAGAAGCTTGAAAGATGGTGTCTAACCTGTAGGCATATATCCCATGACGATAGAACTTGTCCACTACTCTCTGAAGAACAAAGAAGGGCAAAGATGCTTGAACGTGAAGCTGAAAGGAATCTGACCCTTGCTGCTCGAGATGATCAAATGCGAGACAGAGACATCATCAATACCCGCAGACAGGCGGGTCAGATATCGGCTCCAATCCGAGAAAGAGGCTCTGGTTCTCATCCCCAAGAGGAAGCTCGTATCCTCACAGCTGCTGCTCACGACTCAAG